ATAAAAACACTAATAATTGACACAAAATATGCATATTCTATGAAATGGACCAAGACATCACTGATGCTTAACCAGCACCTGAAATAAACAGCAATCGTTCACAGATTCTGAAAAAGAATCGTCTACAGAGTCCACTTTTAAAATCCTAATCATAATCGGATGAGCGGTCCCTTTCAATTGAGAGTACCACACTGCCTCCGATGTATCTACCTTATGGAAGGTAGCAGTAATTCCGATACGCTACAGATAGCTTGTTCCAAAGTACATCGCCGTTTTCTCCGTAGTCCATCAACTTCGAAGACCAGCTGCATGGTCCACAAAATGCCCAAAAAGCTACACTATACCAATCGCAAACATTCCTAATGCCAGAATTAAACCAATAAACAATAAACATAAACTATCGAGCTACCGTAAATATGTAAGTTGGTGTAATTAAACAACAATAAACTGTTGATGCCCATTGGTTAATTACGAAATTATTATATTTTTAAGGAAGATCTTTTTTTATTACTCTCCGTGCAGAAATACCTCGATCGATAGATCTTAATCTTTTCCTTATTTTCTTTGTTAATAAATTGCGTGTCATGATCAGTATGAAATATTATTAATAAAAAATCATTTGACGTTTTGTCTGTATTGTCTTGGATGTGAGGTTCAAATTCCATAAAAGTATACGGGTTACTATACTTTATTCAATTTCGACAGCTTCAATTCGTTCATAAATAAAGCTATTCTGAGAAGTCTACATAATAATGTATATATAAATATGAAATATATAACAAACAACATATATAAACTTTTCACGAGTATTAACACTTGTCTCTGATAGGTAAGTAATGTTTTAAAAATCTGTTTTCAATTTGAAGTGTTGATATAAGATAAGGTTTAAACATTATTTACTCCTTGGTCGTTTTCAGATTGACGCTACATCTTTATTAATACAATATTTAATTTGTACAATATTATATAAGAGATATTCAAATATAAATTAAAGGATATTATCAATTTCCGTATTGCCATTAAATTTCTATTCTAAATATAAAGTGAATGGTATAAGGGAAATTCTATCCCACAGGTATTTTAAGCATACTTTAAAGCAATTATTGCTGAGAATTAATGGATTCCAGCAACTACAGATAATCGTTCTTCGAACGTGACGATAGATAAATATATTTAGAAGTTTACAGAATATACAACAATACAACAATACTTCGACATAAGACTACTACTCATGACAGTGGTCTACGACTACGACCGGACAATCGGGCGAATCCCCGAGGCCCCCAAACAGTGTTAGTGTTAGCTCAATTATTCTTTAATTTTTAGTATGGTATAACTCATTTTTGAATCGATTTGGCTTGAGCAACAAATTTATAGCATCTGAAAAATAACCACCCTGAGCCATTTATATTCATCTACAATCAGTAAGACTCTACAGACTATGAACAATTCCGCCGAGAAAACCGAGGTTGGCTGATCTTGCTATCCTCCGCACATAGCCCATAGGCCACAGACTTAGGGTTTAGTAGTGCCGAGATAAACCCAGTGCCAATCTTATAGCTTTGTTCTGTATTCTTTCAAGGATATCTAATCTAGATTGGCTACATGAATATAAAAAGGAGGCGTATTCCATCTTGCTTCTAATGTATGCTACCCCGAATATCGCTCGAAGTATCTTTAGACCCGTTTCACAATTCTTGGCGTTGATTTGTCTCTTTCATGTCAATTTATCATCTAGCCATACACCCATATACTTTTCCTCGCCAACTCTATTAATTGAGTGAGTTTTCAGAAATAAACGAAAAACATATAGGTTCTAAATTTGTATGTGTCTTTCCCCCGCAGAGACCACTATGGGCCCTTTCCCAGACAGTAGCTGGAGTTGGAGGTTTTGTACAAAGCTCGAATATATGTTGAATATTATGGTGGGAATTTTGTCCTGGGATTCTCTGCCACTTGTAAGTACAGAAAAAAAACTCTGGGATGATCCTAGACTCCTCGCTCCATTTATCCAATCTCACTTTAATTATCTTCTTTGTTTTCTTTGCGTACGATATCAAAGAAATAGGTCTATACCTTGAAGCCAGGTTGTTTGGGCCATTACCTTTATTATTGGTATTAAAGTGGTTTGGTATTTCATCTCCTAATAGGATGCCAGTATATATATTTATTTATCTCTTATTATCTCTATCAGGTAGACTATACAGTATGGGCTCTATTCAACGTTTCGCAGAAGTTTTTGAAGCTTTCTCCTTTTGATCTCCGAGTATTCATACTTTGATCATGGGAGTTCGTATCTGCCTGTAACATGATCTCTACCCGTTTTTGAGACTACCTTTAAATTTCCCCCATTCTATTTTTCTGTTATCCATTTTATGAATATTTTTGACTTTATTATGCATTCATAGTCTGAGGCCAGATCTGGTAAGTAACAATCAAATCCTAAATATTAGTGCTAAAACTTTACAGCCAGTGCGTAGCTATTACTAAGTTCAATCTATCGATATTTTTTCTATTGTTAAATTTCATTCTTCGCAAGCCATGTTTTGCATTCTGGCTGGTAAGTTAATGTTAATTGGTATGTACAGGGTAGGCCAACTTGGACTGACTGTTTTAAAATATTTATAACGTTTGAGTTTTTATTTTTGTGTGTTGCAGATTATAAAGAATTTTAAGAAATTTTACAATGGCTACATACTAGTGCAAGAAGAGGTCAACATATCCAATAGAGATCACTCGCCTGACATGCGCGATTTTGGGAATTCTCTATCGTATACCACATCAATTAAACTCCGTTGGTTTAAACAAACTTGCTGCCTCTTGAAAAGAGTAATTATTTATGATCACTTTTTCCTTGGTTTCTTTTTGTCTATGAAATTGAAGACAAACTCTGTTAGCTAACCTCTTATCAAATTCTGTCGTGAAATAAATGTACATATTTGGAACTACATCTACTTCTATGGATATCATTGACAAATTAGTTAAATGCAACTTATTTGAATTTCCTGAACAATTTTGAGTAAATTTTAAAAACGAGAAGAAATGCAAGGGTCATTTTTCAATTAATAAATTGAACTATATTGATTCGAAGTAAAAACCTTTTTTTTATAATTTATTAATAATCGGAAAAGTTGTCCGTAAAGCGAAAAGCCGAATAACGAATCAATTATTGAAACTAAACAGAAGGTCGCTAACAGTACAGCATTTTTTGGCCGTATAACGAAACATTGTGGTCGTAAATGAAAAAAAGTGTTATAATTGAAAAACACCGTCATAGAAAAATGCCGTATAAAGAACAGCCGTATAGCGAAGTATAGGTATATAGTAAAACATATCTTTTTATAATTACAGAAACTATGTACTCTCATAAAAAAATCGCATTGGTTCAAAATCGACAAACAGAATCGTTTGAGCAGGCTCTGCCAATCCCCTTATTAAATAGGTACGATCCACTATTCGATATGAAGGAAGATGAAATAACCATGGAAAAAATGGATGCAGAACCAACAAAGAAGCACAAAAAACAAGAAAAAGCCCCCCTATCATCGTCGTTGGAGAGCATCACGATGGATCTCATCAGCAGTTCATTAAGACTTGCAAACTCCTCAAAAAGACAATTATTCCATAACAAAGTATCGAAGATCACAACACTATTCTAAAAACACTTGAATAAAACAAAACAAAATTTTATATGTTCTTGATGGAGAATGAGATGGACAGTGAATTTAATGAGGTTCAGCATGTAGATCTTCAGCCAAGTCAATGGATAATGACAATGTTAAGGATAGCAGCAGATTCACAGTCAAAGGAAATAGTGGAATCGCAGAGCATCAATATACTACTGAAGTAAACCTACAAGATAAATAAAATCATCATAATGGTAACTTTCCTACCTAATGTCAACCGCGATCTTAAATTTACTCAATGTTCACAATGATGAACAGATTGTGAATAAAATTACACGACATAAAAAACATACAACCATAGTTTAAAATTTTAATCTTAAGTATCAAAACACTTCAAATGTAAATAATTGCTTCCGCACTTATCTCCAAAATATTGTTAAAAGTGTAAGAAATATAAACCGATGCAAACCCAAAACAACTATGTTGAGAGATTTGTAATTAGGTAGATGTTTGTGCCCTTGCAAATAGTAAATAATTGTATAATTATGTTCGTAAATAAAGTTATTGTTGATTTTGATTTTGCAGGATGTGCACAGGCACACTAATAGAAAACATTACAATGGTGCAAAAGCCGTTGGAATTCATATATCATATAAAAAAAACAGGTTCTTCTGTATCTTATTTTTTTTCTTTTAATTGGAGAAAAACATTGATTTATTACGATTTTTACTTATTATTAAATTTATAGTTTTTCTTCTTCATTTTAGGGAAAATCTCCCTTAAATTTAAATATTCTTCATATAAAATAAAATGTTCGATTTGATATAAATTTCAAAATCAATACCCAGCCAAGTTTGATAAACAACGGTAAACAGACTGAATCGAGGCAGTGATTGACAACCAATATTGACAATTTTTAAAGACCTATATATTCTTATGAAACAACATGACTTAGAATGAATAAGCTTATGGCTCTAAGTGTCTGCCTAACTACGAGCCCTATCACAGTCGCGTGCCGCGAGAGATTATAGGTGTGCTGAGAAAGATTTAAAAACAGATAAAAATAATTGAGCATAGTATTTTGCTGGATCGGGAAATTTAGTTCATTTAATTTTGTTGGGATTTAAGGTGTGCCGCGATTCTGCTATATGTTAAAATCAATTTCAGATAATATTTTTTGTAAAATGAATCCATTTTTTTAATTTTATGTTTATTTTATTATAATAAATATCTTATAATACATATACTACAAAGTAAAATATTAAATAAAAATATATTTATAAGTAAACGGTTATTTAAAATTACGGTTCATCCTAAATTGAGTTATTTTTAAATAATACTTTAAATATTTCAAACCTTATATAATCAGTGCAAATAATATATAAATTGGTTATCTAATTTTAATTACATATATTATAGTAAATACATTCGGCCTTAAACATCCAAAACAGTGGCTTTTTTTTAAATTAATGTGCATATAAATATTTATTAGTAATTAACGCAGTCGTCTTAATAACAAATACAATGCGCGATAACACTTAAATTGATATATTTCAAAAAAAGTTAAATCACCATATGTTGAGCAGCAGAAATAACAGTTATTTCTCTGACAAATCGTGTAAACAGTGACTAGACCTATACTTATTCTATTAATTATGTACAAAAGAAAAAAATTTCTTATATATGATAAGATAAATAAATCTTTACCAACCAATATGAAGAGTGGAAAGTCAGGACTCCGCCAAATAATATAATCTGATTTCGTTGACGTTTGAAAAAAAAATGCACAAACATCATTTACTAAATGTTATTCAGGAAGGGTACCACCATTCCGATAACAACGCCTGAATCGATCATATTGTTCTTATCGCTGTGTATTTTTTTGTGCTTTTTGAGGGTGGAACTCTGACGAAATGCCTGTCCGCACTGATCACATATGTAGGGCTTCTCGCCTGTATGAATTCTGAGATGGGAACTAAGGTCGTTTGACTGTGAGAACGCTTTTGAACAGAATTTGCACACGTAGGGTTTTTCGCCGGTGTGCGTCCTTTTATGACGCGCGAGAATTCCCGAACGCGAAAACTTCATCTTGCACACCTCGCACTCATACGGTTTTTCGCCCGAGTGAATTCGCTTATGTTTCGTGAGAGAACTTGATGTTGTGAAACCGTGATTACAGATAGAGCACACAAACGGACGTGCACCTGAAATACACCTCAATCAACAGTAATATAAACATTTCAAATGATATATATATATATATATTCTAATAGAAAGTGATTTGAAAAATCGTACCTGTATGTTTTCTAATATGCGCGGATAATTCACCTTTGCTAGCAAAGCCGTTACCACATATATTACATAGATGAGCCTTGATACCACTATGCCTGACAGTATGTTGTCGCAAGTTGCCCAATTGATTGAAACCTTTGCCACAAGTGGAACACAAAAATGGTTTTTCTCCATTGTGGGTTCTCATATGATCTTTTAAATTTGAAATCTGGTTGAAACCTGCAAATCATAATAATTATCAATAAATTACATTTTTATAATATAATGAATACCTTTAGAACACACATTACAAACATGTGGTTTGATACCTGTATGAATATTCATATGATGACTCAGCTGCTCAGCTCTTGTGTATCCCTTATTGCATACTTTACATGTATGGGGTTTAACAACAGCATGCAACTTCATATGTCTGTTGAGATGAAAATTTTTCGTAAACTTTTTATTACAAATTCCACATGAGAAAATATCTCCACTTTCCTTATGTATTTCCAAATGTTCATCATAAGTTATACCATTATCGAATTCCATATTACATGTTGAACATTTATATTCTTGTTTTGTTGTTAGTGGATCCGTCAAATCATCAATGTCATCAGCATCTTCTTCTTCAATTTGTATTACTGTTGCTTCATGAGACCTTTTATGCCTAACAAGTATATCCTCTTTGGTAAAACATTTATTGCATTCACCACACTCAAATAACTTTCCTTGCATATCACCACTATTATCCAAATCAGTTGAAATATCATTAGGTTCTGTGTACTCTACGAACTTTTCAATTGGTATATCTTCCAAATTTTCTATTTTAACATCACAAATATCTGGTTTAATAATGACATCCTCAGAGTCATTATCTTCTAAATCAAAATTATGTAAATCTTCTTCCTCATGTTCTATAAGTTTAAAAGGGTTCTTCCCCAATCGTAATCTCAGATTTCTGTCTGTCTCTTCGCATTTCATCTTGAATAAGTACAAGTCTGGTATTCTCTCTGCACATTCTGAGCAAATCTCTTCTGGTAACCCATCTCCTAACGTTATCTAAAATACCAAAACATGTATATGCTGCAAGATATATTCATTAATTCCTCTTTACCTGGACAGAAGTATAAGCCATAACCATTTCAGCAAGATGAATTTTCAAGCCTGTTCTCTCCTCTGAAACAAAAACTGATTGAAAAATACCCTTCTCCGTCATGCAAACACGACAAATATTCCGCAAACTATTCTCTTCCATATTAATATTTCAAGAACTTTCAACTTTTGTAATCTAGTTTTGCTTTTAGGGTTAATATAGTACACACAAAAAAATTCAATGTTAACAATAGATCAATATGCAACCAAAATAACATCTTAAAAAAAGTATGCAACATACCATAAATTTATATTAGGAATTGTATTATTATTTTTAATTTCCTTTAACAGATTATAATTATTAAAAATTAAAATAAGCGTTCATTAGCATTCTCTTTAAAAAAATAGGATAATTGACAAAATAATAGAAATAAGACTTTATTTGGGAAAAGATAAAGGCTTTCTTTCTTCGAGTGATACAACATATATTATCAATCTTAAATAACATAATAAATGCTATATAATTAGGATATCCAACCCTCAGAAACTACTATTATTACTGAATTACAAAGACAATATAATTATATCTATCAGGAATTATTGAATAATATAAATTATATATTATACCATATGTAAGCATTTTACAATATAATTTATATTTTTAACTATATTTTTTTAATTTTATTGTACTAATGGATTACTTAAATTTATATGTATATAAGACAACTGTGCAGTAACACAATTTTTAACTGTAAAGAGACTTTTTAGAAATGCATGTTATTAATTTTCGTTCTTGATTTTATTAATAACATGCTGTATATTCGATATCGCGACATTTACATCTGCATCTTGTCGGCTATTTTTGTCCATATGAACCTTTTTATGGGTTTTAAGTGTTGAGCTCTGTCGGAAGGCTTGACCACAGAGATCGCAGATATAGGGTTTTTCGCCTGTATGTATTCTGTGGTGTGAGCTTAGATCGTTCGACTGAGCAAAAGCTTTTGAACAGAATTTACAAACATACGGCTTTTCACCAGTATGCGTCCTTTTGTGACGCGCAAGAATTCCTGATCGAGAAAACTTCATCTTACATACGTCGCATTCGTACGGCTTTTCGCCCGAGTGTATCCTCTTATGCTTGGCCAGATAGCTGGAAGTCGTGAAACCGCTGTTACAAACCGTGCATACGAACGGACGTACACCTAATAAAATACATTCTAGTCAATCTGCAGAAAATCATGTTTGATGTAAATTATTATACCTGTATGTTTTCGCATATGCACACTTAATTCTCCTTTACTAGCAAAACCATTGCCACAAAGGTTACACAAATGCGCCTTTACTCCACTATGCCTAACAGCATGCTGCTTCAAATTGCCTAAATGATTAAAACTTTTACCACAAGTTGAACACAAAAATGGTTTCTCCCCATTGTGTATACGCATGTGATCAGTTAATGTTGAAATCTGATTAAAAGCTGCAATTTGTCAAATTACTAAAATAATTATTTCGTTCACACAATTCATTTCACATTACCTTTTGAGCAAATATTACATATGTATGGTTTTAAACTAGAATGTATTTGTTTCATATGCCTTGTAAGTTGGAAATTTTTTGCAAATTGTTTACTGCAAATTTGACAGCGGAACAGCTCTCCTCTTTCTCTATGAATTTCTAAATGTTCATTATAAGTCTCATTACTATCAAATTCCATATTACATGTTGCACATTTGAACTCTTGCTCCTGTGATATATCTTTGATTTCTTCTTTTATTTGGATAAATGTTATTTCATGGGTTTTTTTATGTCGCACAAAAAAGTCTTCCCTTTTGAAACATTTGCTGCACTGATCACATTCAAATAATTTGGATTTTTCTGCATTGCAGATTTGCATTGTTTGATCTTGTATATTATAGTTGACATGCTCATCCACATTCTCCACTTTTACATTACATACAACATCTTCATCTGATTGTTGATCAACAACTTCAATTTTAACATTGGAAATGTCAGGTTTAATAATAACATTTTCTGAATTGTCTAATTCTATGGGGGTCATATCATCCTCATTCAAATTGAAAGGAAATTTCTTTAAAGTCATCCTAAGTTTTCTATCAGCTTCCTCACATTGCTTTTTAAATATATACATGTCTGGTACTTTTTGATAGCAAACATCACATATTTTGTCAGGTAGACCATCTCCTATTGTCATCTAAAATTTATGTAATAATTATGTATATAAATAGTGCAATATGTAACAATTATTGATTTACTTGGACAGAAGTGAAAGCCATAATCATATCTGCAAGAAGAACTTCTAATCCTGTGTTTTCTTCAGCATCAAATGCAGATTTAAAGGAACCCACTTCTGTCATACACAAACGACAAATATCCATATCCATGGGAATACTTTCTTCTTCCATAGTAAAGCTAAATATGAGAACACAATATCTTTTATATTAGACAATTTATATTGAGGTTAAAGTCGTACACAAACTAAAATGACAACTGATACAACAGCTGATGGCGTTGATAGTTATGCAACCAACCACATCATATTATCATGGATAAAATACATTCTGTTTGAAAACTATAAGATTGTTATTGGATATTTAAGTTTAAACTGATATATAATTTGTTTAATAATTTCATTTTATATGCTGTATTTTAAAATGTAAATAATGTTTAAGTGACAGATAGCTAACTTCGTTTTATTTTATATGTAGAACCAAGTGATGTTTCCTGTAGATAAATCTTCTTTGCATTTAATTTGCTCGTCTATTGTTTAATAGCCATAATATCAAAAAACCTATGATATGAGTTTTCCAAAAGCCATGGACTTTCATAAGATTTGTAGAACATGTTTGGGTGAACGAGAACAACTTAGAGTAATTGTTGATAACAAAATTTCTCATATGTTAGAAACCTGTTTTGATATACAGGTAAATTATTTAATTATACTGACCTGTTTTTAAAATCTTGTATTTAGCTTAGATTATTTTTAAGTTATAATTGAATAGAATGTTACTATATATTTTTTAGGTTAAAAAGGATGACAAGTTACCACAAAAGTTGTGTATTTTGTGCTTCAGATTCATTACAAAGTTCTACACCTTTAAAAAGAAAGTTGAGCGTTATAACAGAATTCTAAAAAATCAATTGACAGTAAGAAATCAAGAATATGATCTTATAAATAAATTTGAGGATGCAAGTGATGATGATGCTCCATTAAGTAATCTGTTAAAAGATGATTTAAGAGAATGCACTAAAGATTTGGATAGTGGACCACCACCTCTTATACCATTGCAAAATAAAGTACAAGTTTTTAAGCATGGTTTACACTTGAATACAAGTGTATTAAAGGAGGCTCCACCATTGGTTCCAATTAAACAGAAATTGGTTCCAAATGAAATTGAAAAATTGGCTCCTGCAAATATCAAATTGGAATGTACATTGTGTGGAGATGAATTCAATTCAGTTGTTACATTAAAGGAGCACAGAAAATCTCAATGCCAATCAGACGTTCTTCAGTGCAATGTATGCAAGAAAGAATTCAAGGAACGTAAAAAATTGATTGGTCATTTAAAAGGGCACATGATTCGCAAAGAATATATGTGCAAAATATGCGGAAAACGTTATCCTAATCCCTCCACTTTCAAAGTGCACATGCGGACACATACCGGAGAACGTCCTTTCAAATGCCAAATATGCAATAAGGGATTTGTCCGTTGGGCTGGCGTTGTTGGCCATATGAAGACCCACACGTCTCACAAACCCTACAAATGCAATACTTGCGATAAAGCATTTAAAATAGCTTCTAATCTGGAAAGACATAAGGTTCTTCATTCCGGGAGTCTCCCATTTTGTTGTAATTTTTGTGGCAAAACTTTCAGTCAGTCAGATAACTTGCAGTTGCATATTCGAACGTGTCACACGTTCGAAAAACCCTTTTTGTGCAATGAATGCGGCAAAGGTTTTGCTAGCTCTTCTAGTCTCAATCGTCACATGTGGGTGCATTCTGGATATAAACCATATTCTTGCGACAAATGTCCAAAAACATATTCTAATTCGAATGATTTCAAGATACATCTTCGATCCCATTACGGAGGGTTCAGCGATGAAGAGAAGCCGCACGTTTGCACCATTTGCAACATGAGATTCCTACACGCTTGTCGCCTCACTAAACACATGAAAATACACGACAAAAAACAATGCTTTAAATGCAACAAATTCTATAGAAACGAAGTTGCTCTTACCAAACATATAGAACAGAAACATTAACAACAGTATATTAACAAGTAAATTGAATTTAAACCCAATGCAATTTAAGTTATATCATACCAAATCTTGTTAAAACTATTGAGTGTGCATGTTTCCTATCAAATACATAGCTATGCTGTAAAATGATGACAATAAGAGCATTATATATAAATCTTGATGTCATATAATCAGTATGCAATAGTCAACAGCTGATCGTATTAAATTTTTAATCATACATCAATATTAATATACAAAGTCTTATATTAAAAAAAAGTTTCGTTATTGTCTGTAGCAATATATTTTTAGGCATGTAAAAACATCTAATGATGTCATTAATATTTAAACTGTATTAATAGTACATTCACTCAGATAGTTATTAGTCTTCGGAAATATAAAAAATGAGATACTGGTGGAACAATTAGATGTAAGGTTAAAAAGTTATAATAGTCGTAAATATTAAATAAAGAGAATAAAAGATCAATAGAGAAACGCACTAATATTAATTGATTAGCCCAATCCTCAATTTATATACTTCATACACAAATAAAGATTGGAATAATTAACATTACTACAAGTATGAAAAATCATATATTTTTTTTGTTAAAATGAAATAATAAATTATATCACATCATTATGTTTTTCATGCAAATTAATTGTAAAAGTATATAGGAAGTATAAAGAAAATTTATGTATTTGAGGCCAAATTAATAGGTTGATCAGTATGCGTTTTTGCTTCAGGCGCAATGAACTTCGGAAATGTTTCCATGGTTTCGTTATTGCCTAGGTCGATGCTTCTGTCCGTCTCGGAATCTTTCGTAGAGAGATTCAAGCTGAAATCTGTCTTGTTCAAGCTATAATCGGTAACCGACGATTTGCTCAGACTGAAATCGGCCGCACTCGATTTACTAACGTCCGACAGTGAAATACTCTTCGTGTCCATGGCGCCATCTGATTGGAAGCTGGTATTGTAGTCGTTGGATTGATAGTCGTATGCATTTTTGAGAGACATCAAATTCGCCAAATCGTTGGAGAAATCCAGTTTTTTTATATCCGTCGGTATCTTGAGGGGTACCGCTTTGGTGGTTTCCGATTTTGTACTTTTTATAGTCGGGCTACTAGTTGAAACCGGTTTAAGTAAATCCTGCATTTTGAAGAGATTCGTTGATAAAAACATGTTATTAGCAGCTAATGTACTGTGAGCCATAGGATCCGGAAGGCCAAGAAGACTGGATGCACTTGGGAATTTGCCAGAATTGAACAAGACGTTGGCTATATCAGAGGAGAGCATCAAATTGCTGCTGAGACTAACTGGAGTATTCAATGTGGGCAGCATTTGAGAACTCTTGCTCACATTTGGAATGGAAAGTAAACTTTCTTCGTCGACAGAGCAACCAACGAGATCCCGGATGTATGGCCAGAGAGTCGTGTCGCCTAAATCTAAAGGGAATTTAGAAATTAAGGAGCTTTTCAATTTTTCGATGTAGGACGTCGTGTTCACGTATTTGTCGGTAAATTTTATCATATCCTTGCTGTAATAATCCACGCACTTCTTCATCTCTTCCTTGACGCAGATACTCATAGTGGAGTCTTGAACAACGCTATAGGACATAAGCATAGGTCTTCCGTATTCGTTTGGTTTATTTTCCGGTGGCGGAATAACCCAGTACGCGATTATATTGGATTCTAACGAGGCATTCTCGAAATTGTATGGCGCTAAAAATAAAAGTCACTCAGTAACAAAAAAGCGTAAATATCAAATAGAAAATACATATTATAATACCGACGCAGGGTGTATAATTGCTGTCGTTTAATCCTTTCATTTTAATCTGATAGTCCAGTTGTACATCCACGTCTCGTAGAGTTGGCGCCGCTGCTGTATATGGATGCGAATGATACCAGCCCACCAATACCAATTTCAATTTATCAATGGCTTTCGATATTTCCATTTCGACTTGCGGTGCATTCTCGCGATCAGATTTTGTATTCCGGCATGGAAAAGCATGAGTTATATTCAAGTCTAAAAAATAAACCATAATTACTAGGTAATTAAATATTATTTTGGTTAAATTATACTATGAGCATTAACATCCCATTGGCCGGCCAAATAACCGGAAACTTCGGATTTAGTCAGATGGCAATGGAAATCCATCAATAGTGCAGCATTTGTGGACATGGATATGAGAAATGGCTGTATTTTGCCTAAATTCGAAAATGGAACACATTCGATCATTGTGTTTGCATCGCTGTAACGTAATTGTATTTGTACTAATTGTTTTTTGCTAATTCGTTAATACTAATATAAATATAATTACTGTGTAAATGTTCTGTTCGTCATTGTATTATGTTTAACGACGATGCGTTGGACGAACTGAGGGGAAGTCATAGTGTGGCATTGGTTTGCATTAAATGTCTCTTCTGAAATCATACTTTGAAAACAATTGGGCTATCGAAAAAAAACGAATTTGCGTCATGTACCTTCCAATTCTTCTCTAAGCAGATTGCTTAGTTCATCCTTTTTTCTTTTATACCAGATAATCTTGTATGCATCCAATTTCCTACCCTTGTATCTTACTGATGACCAGCCACAACCAGATTTTCTCACTGGATTTATAAACCTTTTACAGGCGATGGCCCAAGCGCTTGGAGAAGCAAATACTAAATCCGTTTCCTGACTCCTAATCTTTCCATCCTCAAGAAGGTCACCTATAAACGTTTGGCCCTAAAAGCAGAGAAAGTGATTCGTGACCTCGAGCATTTGCGCATCGTACCATGTACTCTATTGACATAGTCCCATCACCAGGTTGCAGTATGTCTGCAGCCAGGAGCATTTGTAAAGTGACAGTTTTACTACAAGCAACATTGTTAGTGTAATGTCTTCCTGAACGCTGACCAGCATCTCCCTCACACTCCTAAAGATATATAAGAAACAAACAAAACTCAACCATATTGGCACAAACTATACTACAATCAATCAAATTTCCTAGCAAGAACTACAATATTCTTGAGAAAACTTAACTGCTCTCATTTTCAGAGAGAAAAACAAAACACTAAATGCATCCAATTTTCTTGTTAATAAATCATATCTAAAAAAATGCCTATTACATTCTATAAAGCATGAAATTGAATAAACAAATTTTGTATGTATGTGCTACTACAGTTTAAAAAGTCCTAAGTCAATCTAAATACATATTGGTGAAGAAGAAAGTAGAAAAGAGGACTACTATTTATAAATTAGAACCTCATCTATGTATTCATCTTCCACAAGCTCATCTTGCTCTTCCCTATCATCATCTACTGTAGCTTGAATAGTATCACTACCATGTCGCAACAGTGCAGCTTCTAGTTGTGACAACATCTTACATCAAAAAGAATTATTAAAAGGAATCACATTATTTTACAATCATATAATACTTATATATATATATATATTTGTTACAAAAATATCCAATAAAACATTTGTCAAATATAGAATGTATTAAATAATTGTAAGTACAGTTTTCAATTGTGAGTAATAAAGTATACTTTATATTAAAATCTGTTATGAAAGATCAATCATATAAATATAATAAGTCAACTTACTATTTTGTTCTATTAATATGCAGGTAGGTAGACAGAAAACAAAACATAGGTAATGTTTGATATATGACCAATAACACGAAGTTGGCGATGGTTTACAAACAACATCCTGTTGTATGCAACATACAATGCGCATATTTTAAAAGTATAGGCAACAAAAGTCACTCTATTTTTACAATCAACATACAGTTTTCTTCAATAAAATCTTGATAATTATTGATATAATTCTCTTGGCCCTTACGGGTTTATCGGCCCCCACAAATTTTGCTGGTGAGGTTTGAACTGCCAACCTGTCGTATCGTATTTTTGTAATACAGGCAAATTTATGTTTAACTTACGATTTTCATATGATCCACAGTAAAAAAATGTAATAAATATATTATATTTTTCCCCAATCATTTAATAATAACTTAAATTTAGATATAAAATTACCAATATTTAGACAACAATAAAGTGTTTTCATAGAAATATTACTGTTATAACTTTTCATATATTCTAAATATATAATTTCTATAGAACCAAATTCAACAGTAAGAAATAAAAAATACAAAAATATACATGCATTTATTATTAAACAATCTGTAAATAATTGTGATTCATGTTTTTTGTTGTTTAACCAATCTTTAATGTGCAAAACAATTGTATACAAAGTACTTTATTTGCGATACAAATGCATGAATCAATAGTACTGACTTTCAAAATAAACAAAAGATAATTGCCGATTAGCCTATGTTTAACAATGACATTTTTCCACATACTTATTTGTAGTTGCTCATAATAAGGATATGGAAAGAATCGCATTCTAATCAACGCACTGCACAAAAGGAAATAAAGAAAGTAATAAACACACAAGTAGATAAGAAAATTCCTTCGATAATTAATTGGGATATTCGAAGAAAACTTTATTTACGTCAATGAATTTGAAATAAATTTTCAATGTTTTTTTTTTTGTTAATTTTATATCATTTTTGGTGTTATTACAGGATTTAATTTGAACTAGGATTATTAAATTATAATAATAAAAATATAATAAAAAATACTATCGACTTTTCTAACTGCAAGAAAAAATAATCTGTGCCACTGTGTGTAATCAAATTGGTTTCCATACATAAAAAATCATATTATCTGGGTAAATTTAATAAAAGTAACTGTTTTTTAAATAAATATTGAACTTTGTATTTTACCGGGAAAACCATTTAATATATATTTAGTAATGTATGTTGTTATTTTGACGAAACTAATTTATCTTATCTATTTCGTCTCAATTAAAAATATATCATTTATTTGGACTGCAGTACCCATTAAAATTAAAGGATTAAGTTTCAATAATTTCATTCTGCAAAGTAATATTTATATTATATAATGGATAAACAATTTATTATTTTAGAATTAGATTTTAAACAAAATTGTAATTTTCCAAACAATTAAAAAAAAAATGAAAAAAAGCTTGCTCAATCAGATGAAAACATTAATATTGCCTCAAGATAATTTATATTTTAATTTTTTTGTGCCATTATATGAATATAATTGATAATATATGCTTCTGAATAATGCTTTAGTTACTAACACTCGAATACTTTTAGTTTTATAGTACAATATTCAGTTATTAATTTAAAAATTGTATGAGTATTCGATTTCAAATGTTCAAGTTGAATTATGTTCAAATATTTGAGAATAATATAGATTTCTTTTAAAAGTTAACTATTTACTTCGTCGTCACAGGCTTTCGATAAAGTTTGGCATACAGGTTTACTCTAACGCTGAAAATGCAACTTCCACATAATTTCTATGAAGTGTTGAAATACTACCTAAATGATCGTAACTTCTTTTATCAAATTGAAGGAAGCACAAATTGAGCTGAGTTCCATCAAATCGGTCGTTCCACAAGGTAGTGTCTTGGGACCAATTTTTATCTATTATACACTGCAGATATACCAACAACAGAGAAAACAATCATGGCAACATTTACAGATGACACAACAATCATAGCATCAGTCGAAAGTCCCATAAATGCATCTCGACACCTTCAAGAAGAGCTTAATCAGTCCTCCAGTCAAACTCAACAACAACAGCATCTTCAAGGGTGAGATACCCTTTGGCGGTCAACCTTCTCGATAACGGCGTGACAAAAAGAAGATTAAAGAGCTTCAAGCACTTAGATCTCCAATTTAGATTTAAGTAAAGAATAAATAAATAAAAATAAATACAAACGTCATGTAATGCCACTGGGCAGCAACTTCCTAATGCCAACAGCGAACACATCAAATGATAAATGTTCAGTAGAATAGATTGTAAATCAAAACTGACAAAAAAACAAGAACTAAGGAAAAAGGTTTATAATCACAACAGATTATGTATATTGTTATTGTATATAAAGATTTAGAAATGTGACAAAATTGAGTACTCTGTTATTAATATTAAAATATAACTAAATTAGAATAATTAAACGAAAGATATTTACATGTTTAATATTAAATTATGTATGTGAATAAAAATCTTATATTATGCATATGAATTGATGTTAAACTATTGAACAAAACCAGCCAAAAAATGCAACTTACTGTATTCGTCCTGATTTGTTAAATTTTGATTAATTTCTTCATTTTGTATTTATGAATTTAAGTATTAAGTAGTAGTAGTATACAATAATAGTAATAATGCGATTAATCATTTTTCCTCTATTTCTTATAACTCCAAGGTTCTGGAACGTATTCAGAACGTATACCGAGGTACCACTGTAATTTATGTTTAAAAATGTTTTTCATAATTGTTAGCATTCACAATTATTTCCTGCAAGTAAGCAACTTTCATACCTATTACAGTTCAAAGTGATTTGAAATCTCTCTCCAACAGGTGGTTTTTTCGTGAACGGAAAAAGTTAAGCGCTCAGTTAAATGCATATGCATTCGTTGAGACGAGTCTGAAAAAAAAGAGAAATGTAAGTATGCTCGTGAAAGGAAACCGATTTCAGCCGACTGCTTTCATTATCTGGAAGTGTCTTAATATTTTCCAGAACGGTTGTTCCTCCACGTTCGCGTTGTACATCTCGCTTTGCGGTAGTTATCGGTGCGTTTATATTTCGACGGAGCTAACGTGAAGGAATTTTCCGCTTGATTTTAGTCTGGACAGCAGTCTGCCAATACAGCACCCATAACCATCGACTGCGAAACGCAATTCGAGCTCACAAGTAAACCGCTCGTCGTCCCAGCCGTTCCTAACGCTGCATATTCCGCTGCAACAAACCAAGGTTAAAAATAAACTCCTCCAAAGGCAATCTTCGATTTTCATCCCTATTGCACAAGAAGATATATTAGTCCGAGATCAGCGCTGTAGTTTCAAATTTCGGCACCAGCTGCGTGGAGGGTGAATATTTGTGGTAGGATTTACTAGATCTACTTTTTGGTAAGCTCATCGCCCTATCCAAAATCATTATTAAAATTGCAATGAACATTGAATATCAGAAAGTTAAACACAACCTGGCTTGCTTTATATTATCATTTTTATTTTGTTATGGAACTGACAGGTAAACATGTTCCATCAAAAGTGACGTCCCAAAATATCGCAATTTTTTTGATTTACCAAATAAACTGAATGTTGTTCACTGCGGTCGCAATTCCTGTGCGTTTTGCATAGTGTCTGATACGAGAGTGTGCGCAAAACTGCACGGCTTTCGATGCTCGCAACGTTCGAAAAAGATCAATAATTGCCGTGAAGCAGTGCACTGCGGGGGCACCCTACCTGACTTTTAACTAACAAGATTTGATTATTGCATTTTAAATATAACATCGCATTAATTCACCTGCAATTTGCGACCCACATAAGGACCGGCATCTGCAAACACCGATTAGTATTTTCGTCAGCTCGACTAGTTTCCACTGAACTGGTACGTACTTAGAGATTGCTGCTCCTGACCTACTAAATAATATTTAAATTATATTTCGTACCCTCTCTTCATAAAGACGATACAAATTTATAATTATATTTAATAATCATGTCGAAAGTACCACAAGGCAACTATTCTTTGCATAGTACGGTGTTAACAATACGTAGAACTAAATTGGATTCTATTATCATTAGGCCAATTAGGAAACTGCAGGATAATCAAATAATCGATAATCGGATTTATTTGTTTGATGTCTGTAAAGAGCGTTTAATCTTTTTATTAAACTATATAATTAATTAACACATGTAACAGTGTGTTAATTAATATTTGTTTGCAAAAACCTGCATATTATGTTGTTGTTAATAATTATTTTGAAACGCAATTACCGCGCAGTGCAAAATGCAAAAAAATCATCTGTCACAAATTATTCATATTATGTAAATATTTGTTAGATGTTATGAACTAACAAAATCGTTAAATCGTTAAATATAAAGATTATTATAGAATACATAAAAACTTATACAATGGAATTCACTCCCAATTTAACATAATATATTTTGTTTACATTATTTTCATTAGTATGCTTTTACATTTGGAAGATAATTTTGCTTTTGTTGACTTCTTTCGATTCCTTAACTTCTTTTGTCACTTTTGATTTGACTTTTTTGCGTCATATATTCTTCGATTACCATTATTTCGAAATAATTTTGTTTACATTTAATTCCAATTCTCGCTTTGATGTTCAAGAATCACTTGTAAGTAACTTTCGTTAATGCATTTTTTGTTTGATTAACTTTCTTTATAAAAGTTTTATACATTTTTTTAAAATAAAATTCTTATTTTTCAGATCTAAATTAAATAGAACTTACTTTTATTATCAAGTTTCCATATTTATAACATAAGATTTCACTATTTAGCCGTGCTGTCCTCAATTGCAATTCAATCAAAACAATTTAATGATACTTTCTACGACGTATGATATTCTTCCAATCTGTCTCCTTGTTTTATTATATATTACAATTATGAGTAATAATGTTGATTCAATAATATAGATATTGTTCACCAAATATTGCCATGTTAGGAAAATTATGTTTATTTTTTTTATGTTACTCGTAATTTTGCTTATTCAAAGTTCGCCCTCATTGTCATCAAGTTTAGTGTGTACTTTTTGTTGTTGTAATAACGATAAGGAATTATGCAAACGCAGTTTGCGTGAATGTGTTCGCATAACTCCTTTGGAAGCGAAGATTATATTCATGACAATAATTATTTCAATTTATTAGCAAGTATATTTGACTGGATTTGTAATTGCATATATATTTGATAATACAAATCAAACATTATTGTTAGGAATATGTTATAATAATTAGAAAAGTAAGAGCAGTATGGATACATTCGTAGCGACGCAATAAATTTTTGAAATTTTAAAAATCTTCAGAATTTTTTTTATTTCTATTCTAATCTAATCTTTTTATAGTTGCAATATTTATTAAATATTAGTGTTTCTAATTATATTAAGAAATATATTTCTTAATTGGTAGGTAATAATTAATCTTCTAATTAGTAATTTTAAATAACAAATTACTATTAAAATTTAAATATATTTATATATTTTGGCTGTCCTCCATACATGAGCACATACATAAATAAACATGTAGATTTTTCAACAATATTTACTACGTCTTTTAAAATTCTTAATGGTCGTCTGCGCTACGTCTTATTAACCCATTATTGAAAATAATTGTTAACGTGCATGCTAAATAAATGTCAAACATTTACGCAGGAACTATTCGTATAATTGATCTACTTTTATTCCATTTTTCAAAATAAAGTATACAAGCATGATATTTAAAATAAATCAGTACATGAAACGTAAATAATACATCAGGAATACAGTTGATAACCGATGTGTTTATAATTATGCGATCGTATTTACAAGTTCGCTCAATGCACACTCTTGTTTATTTATCGGTGTATTAAGTAATAACGTTACACGTGATTGGCACGCTGGCGTTTACCATCAATGTGAAGGTCGTTTTGATGTTGACTGAAATTAATGGTTTTAATTATTTAATAAATAAGAAATATTAATCGAAGAATTGGTTTTAAAAAGACAATTGTGTTTCGCTTATTATTTCTTTTAAATACGTGTTAATATTGTGTAATTATGTCATTTATGTATATATTGAAACTTAACTCAGAATTCATGTTTTATGTAAGTACCATCTCTTTCAGATGATTATTGTACAGAAATCATTGTTAATTTCTGGACACAATTAACAATTGTTTTTCATTTAATTTCATATATAATATAATATAAATTATAATTATATGTATTCAAGCATTGTGCAGATTATATTTTTCTCTCACTTCCTTTTATTATCAAGCAACCTCGTTTTGACTTTTCATTAAAGCTCTTTCTTTTAATCGAAACTTAGTCATCTTCTGTATGAAATGAAATTGAAATTTTAACTAACGTAAGAATGTGAAAATTAATTAAAGCTGCCTCTATAACATATATATATAAAAATAGGAAACTGCAAACTGTTTTATGTTTTGTTTATTAACTTTTCATTTATATTAACGTAAATCTATAAATAGTAAATTAGATCTATAAATAAACAGTGTGAATGTACGTACGTTACGTATTCTTATCCTGGTGCGATAAGTGCAGTGCGAGTTATCAATCGAGAGGGTTAGTTCAGTCGTTCCCAAGGTTATCCCGTAATGAAGGAAAACCATTGGTTGAAATAACTAAATTTATCAAGTCGATTATTTTCTCTATAAGTAACGTGCAAATTGAGACCATTGCCGTTATTGTTACCATTACGACCGGCTGCTGTAAATTGCGTTTTCGATTGAATTCAATTTAAAAGAAATAAATGAAATATATGGTCCAAGGTCCAAAGCTTGTCCAGTCCGTCAGTTTCTCTCGCCACAATTGTGCACTTACTTACATAATAATAATAATGGTCTCACAATTAAAGGAATCGAGTTGTTTGGATGGCAAGAACAGAGCAGGCATCACAGTATATACGAGTTCCACGGCACGTAGCTGTTATGCGGAAAATCTAAAGAATTTTCGAAGAAATATTAAAAAGAAATTAACTATTTATAATTTAAAAAAAAAACATCATCTGCACAAAATATTAGAAAGTGAATAGTTTCCTACTGCACAATGAATTAAATAACGAAATGAAAATACCAAAATAAACTGAATACGAAATATGCTTATAAACAACATCAATAAAACCTGCTGCGATATCTTGTTGTTATACATAAGTATGTTATTTTTTTTTTGTTATTCATAAAATATATTCTTAAACCATGTGTAAGGGAAAGTTTGAGGGAGGGAACACAGATTAGATATTTAGCACCAGGCGCATCCTTATGAGAAATGATCAATATTAATATCTGTATTTATTAGATTTTGTTCCTATATTTCATATAGGATTTTATTATCTTTATTGTAATATACGTGATTAGTTTTGTAAAAAGTTTTTCATACTTTGTTCTTGACATTAAAATAACACTAAAATATTTCTTTATATTATAATGTATAAGTTATTTTAAAGATTTTTTAAATTACCTATTTAATATATTTATCGTATAATTTACTTAAGTGTGTTTAACGTGAACACAACACTAAAGTTAAGGTGGAATCATAAAAATGAAATACATCAACACTAAAAAATTACCGCAGAAATATAATTAATCAAATTATAACTTATACATATGCAGCTATAATCCCAATCATAAAAATAACTATTTTGTAAAACAGTATATTGTATTATAAGTGCGTAATTGTATGTAAAATTCTATAGAAATGTATTGCTAAAATGTTTTCAATTTGGTTTTTTTGTCTGAATTGGTTTTGAATCATTACATCACTCGAATCGATTTATTTAGCTTATCTTCGGATAAGAACATTAGCCACATTTTTTTTGCTATCTGTGCAATTGTTTGTTCTAAGCAAATGCTGAATAAAAACAGTTTACCAATTTCTACGAAATATTGTTAATTCTATAATGCAAATTACCTTTAACATGATATTTTGCACATGAAGCTAATATATTATAATTTGTTGAATGAATCACTATACAGTGGAACCTCGCTTAACGAATTAAACGTTCCAAAATGTCACGCGTACAGTGAAATACTCGCAAGCCCGACAACCGAAAAACGTCTATTGAAAGTCCGATGTTCGAAATCCCAAGTGTATTGAAATCCCGACGTTCGAAATCCCGAGTGCACTATATTTTAGGTACGACGGATACCGAAAAAAAAATTTTTAAGACCTAGGTCGATGGCTCTTTTGCCCGATTATTAATTGTTGTTATTTATTCTTAATAACAATAAATAATATTAATTATTATTGTATTTTTTATTTATTAAGAATAAAACTTAAAAATAAGAAATATTCTATAATAAAATTAGTTTATGTTATTAACAATAAATAACAACAATTAATAATCTTATTAAGTTTTAGATTTTTCGGGATTTCGAACATCGGGATTTCAATAGACGGGATTTTGGTTGTAGGGCTTGCGATTGCCACCGAAATACTCGTATAGTGAAACAGTTCTTCCCATATAAACCAATGTAAAATACGATAATGCGTTCCATGCTGAAAAAAAAAGTATAACTTCGTCTCTATTTTTAACGATTTTGCTTTTCATATATATTGTTATTTCTATTGTTTGGCGAATCAAAACGAAGATATTCAAGTGTTATTCAATTTTGCTTAAAAAAAATACAAATGTCTGAACACAAGTTTGGGCATATGTGTGATCACAAACAACACTAAAATTCAACTAAAATGACTACTAACACCAGGAACTGTTTTCCCATTCATATACGGTGAGGTGAGTTTATATTTGTTTATATTACTTATATCAATCCGGAGTCTTAGTGGAGGTCTCTTAATACTTTTAATTTTTGTTTATATAATATAATAATGGTTGCTCACAATATATTTGTGTTATGCATTTAGTCCATCAAATTTACTTCATCTGCCTCATCGTCCAACACTAGTTCTTGAATATTGAGTCTTAGAAAAAGTTTTGCTGGTTCGATATACATTTATTAATTATTTAATAATTAAAAGTATGTATGCCTGCATGTCTTTAATAAATTTATTATCAACTTTATTTAAAAGCCATTACAATTATTTCTTATCTATATAGCTAGATTTTACAAATTAATTGCATAAAATCATAATGTTTAAACTTTTATTACTATCAGAATGATTTCTGTATGGATTGCAACGTTTTATCTCTACTCTAAACTCGAAATATACCAGAAAAGGTACATATTCGGCATTGTATGCTTCTTGAGTTTCACAACGGTAGTAACGCAACAGTTTCTACTAAAAACATTTACAATTTTTATCCAAGTGCATTAGAGGTTCATTATTGCTACAACGACACAATAGAGAAACTTTTCTGGAAAATGCGACTCGCGTGTATAAAATTCATATCGTTCATATCGCCTTTTTGAACTTGGTATTTTCGACTATTTTTAAACTGTTTATTTGTGAGCTTCTCGATTACGCAACTATTAGTTTTATTTATTTTGCAATTCGCCATTAAGACAATGTTGCACATGCCTAGGGGCACCAAGCCTTTTGGCTATAGATTTTTAATATAATATTGTTTTGGGGAGCTTTGAAAAAATGCGCAGAACCAATAAAGAGCAAGTAGTTAGTTATAAATATGCTATGTTCTTTTATGTTTAGAAGTTTAAAGTAGGAAACGAAAAAGTAAGATTTTTTATTAATGAAACATATTAAAATGTATGTTTTAACACTATAGAAAACAGGTCAATCTAGTAATTCTGTCGCTGTGCAAACAGTATTAAAATAGTAATAATCAATTATGTAATTCTAATAACATCAATTATACATTTGGATGCTCAATCGAGCCAATAATTACACGATTCATTTAATTACCCTCATGTACCATAATTATTATCTGGTTTGTTATATCATATATATTTATGTGTGTTTTTTTATTCAGGATAATTTATTTAAAAATGAATGTATAGTTACTTCAAATGTATTAATGTATTAAAAATATAAAAGGTATATTATGTAAACGTATTTCAAAGTTTTTGCATTTTTTTTCAGCCATCTATTTTATATAAAATAATAAACAGAAAATATTTGCATTATTCTATTTCTATTATCAAAATATGCATGTAAATATGCAAGTAAATAAAATATTTCTTATTATCAAAAACAAGGATTTAATTTGTTGAGAAATATCAAAAGTAAAGTATATATTGTATATTAAGAGTTAATGCAACTCATTTTATCCAAATAAAACAATTAAAACTGTTTGATACTCGAAATGTATTCAATTATAAATAATGTTATTACACTTTCAATCATTTATAATTAAATGAAATAGAAGTATTGTTTGATATAATATTGTAATTATATTGCACATAGCATAGAATGTGTGTCTGAGCTGCATGCACGAGCTGTTTGTGCAAACATCACAATATGTAAATTTGCGTGTTATTTTTAAACCGAAATCACTGAAATTGATCATTTATTTTCGTAACACATTTAATTATTTTGAATTACATTTCGTTATGTTTCAGTGAGATTAATGGCGGAGACGTGGCAAGGGCCACCTAAACAAGGCTTGTACGACCCAAGTTTCGAAAAAGAAGCCTGCGGAGTCGGATTCATTGTTGCCATCGATGGAAAACGCTCGCACAAGATTGTTCGCGATGCACAGCGTCTTTCAACTTCCATGAACCATCGAGGCGCCTGTGCCTGCGATAACGATACCGGAGACGGAGCTGGTATTTTGGCAGCAATACCTCACGATTTTTATGCAGCCCAACTTAAGTAACTATCTTTATAGTGGTTAAAACGATTTATTTGATGGGATGTTATTTGCCACAGGGATTCTGATAATATTCAACTATCGCCATTCGGTAAATATGCGACTGGCATCATTTTCCTCGATAAACTTCACCATCAAGAATCCGAGGCCAAGTTCGGAGAACTCGCAGAAGAACTTGGATTGTCGGTGCTTGCTTGGAGAACTGTGCCAACCGAGAGTTCTGTCATTGGCACGATGGCGAGAAATTCGGAGCCCTTCATGAGACAGGTAAGCTAATACTTGTAACGTTATTCTATAATCAACGAAATGCATCGTTAGGTGTTCGTATACTATAATGGTGGTGACATAACGGATGAAGAATTAGATACACAGTTCTTCGTACTAAGGAAGAGGTCTTCGCATGTCATCCCAGCACCAGGAAAACGTTTTTACATCTGCTCGTTGAGCAGACGAATTATAGTTTACAAGGGCCAACTGACATCCGATCAGTTGTGGACTTACTTTACCGACTTGTGTGATCCCTTGTTCGAGACTTATTTGGCATTGGTCCACACGAGATTCTCCACTAACACATTTCCTAGTTGGGAAAGAGCACACCCCTTGAGGTATATAAGATGAAGAAGATGATGGGAAGAACATATCGAACTAATATCAATTTTCATTAGGATGTTAGCTCACAACGGCGAAATAAATACTCTTCGTGGAAATGTTAATTTCATGAAGGCCAGGGAAGGTGTAATGGAAAGCGACGTCTTCGGTCAGTCATTACAATCTCTCTATCCCGTCGTCGAACCTAACTTGTCGGATAGTGGTTCCGCGGATTGTGTGCTCGAATTTCTTGTGCACGCAGGCAAAAGGAGTCTTCCAGAAGTATGTATGACCAAAACGAATCGACACATAATAATCTTCAATGTAGTAATCTCCTCTCAATTATCTAACGTCATTTGTTCTAGTAGCGGAAATGCGAAAGAATACTCAGAAACTACGAGAAAAAAAAAGGAATTAAATATCATTTTTCTTTCTGTTCTCTCTTAACTCGTTTAGGCTGTAATGACGATGGTTCCAGAAGCTTGGCAGAATGACCCTACGATGTCTGAGGAGAAACGAAATTATTACCATTGGGCTTCTTGCATCATGGAACCATGGGACGGACCAGCACTGATTTCGTTTACAGACGGTCGCTACATTGGTGCAATCTTGGATAGAAATGGCCTGAGACCTTCCAGGTTTTACCTTACCAAAGATAATATTATGGTCATGGCTAGTGAGGTAGATAATCGCAATCAGTATAAAAAGTGTGTTAGTAATTTATCGGCTTACAGGTTGGCGTTTATGACGTTGATCCATCAGAGGTTATTTTAAAGAGTCGTTTGAAACCGGGAAGGATGCTTTTGATTGATACAGAAGAAAAATCATTTATACAGGATGTAGCTTTGAAGCAGACTATCGCTAAATCACGTCCACATACAGAGTGGCTCAAAGAACAGGTAAACATACTAAAAAAATATTGCGTTTAAGAATATCCATACATTTAATAGTTTTTTTTTATATAAACAGTATACATATTGTGTTTTTAAACCATGAATTAATTATTGATTAATTTTTTTATATTTTTTTCTGTTTTTTTTGCACGTTTTCCGACTACAGATGGTGAGTGGAACATACATTTTCAAAATTCTTAGAGTAGCGAAATTAAGACACATTCCTTATTTTCATCATGATTACATCAACAAAAATAGGTGTTTTACCCACCTCAAATATTATACAATGATACACTTAACAACAATCGGAGGATTGGAAAGTGTTCGATAAAAAGATGTGTCTTATTTTTTTGCAGATATTTGTGTTCTTTATTTATCTGTTCTGTATCTATGTTTTCGGTATAATATCATATCTAAGCTAAGCTTTTTGGTATATTTAAAGTTTATTCTATAAGCATCTCAACACTTTCCAGTACATACAAAACGAATTACATCTTGTGTTTATTACTAAAAATCCAGATTTAAGTATATTTTATCTAATATAGATGAATAATGTATTAGATTTTAGTCGCATAATATTTGTGTATGCTTTTTTTTTGTTCATTACGCGATGCCATCTTTTTTGTATTTACATTTCCCATAAATATATATAAATGGAACTTAAACACGTAAATTACTATTTATGTGGTACGATAGGCCCTTGCTTTTGGTTTTATAACTTGTGTTTCTTTTTCAATTTTTCTTTTGTACGCAGCTGCTATGGACAGAAAATGAATTCGACAACGTTCTATGCTTTATAATTGTGCTTTGCATATCCTTTGTCCGTGCGTTCTCTCTGTTATTTAGAATTTTACTGCTTTAGATTACCATGGATGATTTTCGGAAGGCCCATTTGGAAGCCGGTCATTCGCTGGATGCCGAATATCAGCCCAGCGGCTTAGCCGACCAAAGGTTGTCGCTGTTTAACTATTCAACTGAAACCATTTATATGCTCCTTCTTCCGATGATTCAAAGCAAGTAAGTTAATTACGATTTAATATTTTGTACGAATTCTCTAATAATTTATTTTTTTATTTAGAAAAGAAGCGCTGGGTTCAATGGGCAACGATGTGCCGTTAGCATGTCTCTCTCAGTTTACACCTCTTCTTTATGATTACTTCAAGCAGCTCTTCGCGCAAGTTACAAATCCACCTATTGATCCATTTCGTGAAAAAGTTGTTATGTCTTTGCAATGTCCGATAGGTCCAGAAGCTAATATCTTGCAACCCAGCTCTAAACAAGTCAGTGACAATATAATGTAATTCTATATATTTATAATCACATATTTATAAGCCTAGGTGCATCGCTTATGGTTAAAACAACCTATTCTGTCCATTTCTGACCTGAATGTATTGAAATTAACAAACCACCGGAACTGGTCATCGAAAATCATTGACTTGACCTACCCTGCAGAAGACGGTCCGAATAGAATGGTCCCGCGTCTTATGGAAATCTGTAAAGAAGCAGAAGAAGCATCTGAAAAACACCAAATAATAATATTGTCCGATCGTAATGCCGGTCAAGAGAGGGTACCAATCAGCTGCTTACTCTCCCTTGGTATATTTAATTATTATCCTTATTCATTTTAATGGTTTATTTCTATTTTATTAAATAATACATTTTTCTTAGGTGCCGTACATCATCATTTAATTGAAACTAGATCTAGGATGAAAGTAGCTCTGATCGTAGAGTCGGCGGAGATTCGCGAGGTTCATCATATTTGTGTACTGCTGGGTTATGGAGCAGATGCGATTTGCCCATATTTAGCAATGGAATTAGCGAGGAGTTTAAGAGAGAGCGGTGTCTTGGACGCGTCATTTACAGATGAAGTTATATATGAGAATTATTCACAGGCCATGCAAACGGGAATCAGCAAAGTTATGGCCAAAATGGGTATCTCCACTCTGCAGTCTTACAAGGGCGCTCAAATTTTTGAGGCCGTCGGTTTGGCAGATGATGTCATCGACAAATGTTTTAAAGGTAATTAATATGGAATTGTATTTGACTGAATTATTTGAAATACTAATTACTTCTTATTTTTTTAGGAACCCCATCAAGAATTGGAGGTGTTACTCTTGACATGCTGGCAATGGAAAGTTTTGAACGATACAATAATACCTATAAATTAGCTCCAGACCGTTTGGTACTCAGAGACATCGGTAATTTCCATTGGCGAGCCGGAGGTGAACAACATTTAAATCAACCGGAAAGTATTGCTGCATTACAAATATCTGCACAGACTAAAAATGAGAATGATTACAAGATGTTCCAAGAATCAACTATGCAATCCGTTAGAAATTGCATGCTTAGAGGCAGACTTCTATTAAGAACTTTAGATCACCAACTTCCATTGTCCGAAGTCGAACCCGCCTCGGAAATTGTGAAGAGGTTCGTGACGGGGGCCATGAGTTTTGGTTCAATCAGTATAGAATCACATCAAACTTTAGCTGTAGCAATGAATAAGGTAAATAAATTATTATTAGCGCATTTCCTATAATACTTACTATTATTTCTAAAAAGATTGGAGGGAAAAGTAACACTGGTGAAGGTGGCGAGAATCCGGAAAGATATTTGGACAACAAGAGCAGATCTGCAATAAAGCAAGTTGCATCCGGTCGATTCGGGGTAACATCATCATACTTAGCACATGCTGATGATATCCAAATCAAGATGGCACAAGGCGCTAAACCTGGTGAAGGCGGAGAGTTGCCGGGATATAAAGTTTCTGCAGACATTGCAAAGACTCGTCATTCCGTCGCCGGCGTTGGTTTGATATCGCCACCTCCTCACCATGACATATACTCAATTGAAGATTTAGCCGAATTAATTTACGACTTGAAGTGTGCCAACCCAGAAGCTAGAATATCTGTTAAGTTGGTTTCAGAGGTATAATTAAATAAGCTGTCTAATGATTGGAGTAACCGTTAATCAATTATATGTACATAGGTTGGCGTTGGAGTCGTTGCATCTGGTGTTGCCAAAGGAAAAGCAGAGCACATTGTTGTATCTGGACATGATGGGGGAACTGGCGCTAGCAGTTGGACTGGCATCAAAAGTGCAGGTTTACCTTGGGAACTTGGAATTGCTGAAACGCACCAGGTGCTTGTACTTAACAATTTAAGATCCAGAATTGTCTTACAAGCAGATGGTCAAATAAGAACAGGTAAAATATAATATTTACTTATACATATTAATATGAAAGCATGATATTATTTATCACTGTAGGTTTCGATGTGGTAGTTGCAGCTCTATTGGGTGCGGATGAGGTGGGTTTCAGTACGGCTCCCTTGATTGTCATGGGTTGCACTATGATGCGAAAATGCCATCTAAATACCTGTCCCGTTGGTATAGCAACACAGGATCCCGTACTCAGAAAGAAGTTCAGCGGACAACCCGAACACGTCGTGAACTACATGTTTATGTTAGCGGAAGAAGTACGACAGCATATGGCCTCACTCGGTGTTCGCACGTACCAAGAATTAATAGGACGCACCGATCTCCTCATGGAATCGAATACAGGCAATTCGAAAGCGAGAACATTGAATCTAAATTTGATTCTGCAGAACGCTTTACATTTAAGACCAGGGGTAAATATTAAAGGTGGTTCAATAACGCAAGATTTCCAACTGGAACTACGTTTAGATAATGAATTGATTGAACTATCTCAACCGGTTATTGACGGAACTGAGCCAACGGTTGACATACATATGAACATTACCAATGAATGTCGTGCTTTTGGAAGCACACTCAGTTATCACATTTCTAAGTAAAAATATTCAAGTTTATCGATTAACATAGAAGATAATATTGTGATTTATAAATTGCAGAAAATACTACGAAGATGGATTACCAGATGGTCAAACAATTAATATAAATTTAACAGGTTCCGCAGGACAGAGCTTTTGCGCTTTTCTAGCCAAAGGTGTTACGTGCACATTAGAAGGAGATGCCAATGATTACGTTGGTAATTAGATTACTTATATTTTGTTATTATGTATAAATACATAAATTGTGTTTTTCTTTTCTTTTAGGCAAAGGTTTATCTGGTGGCACCATTGTTATATATCCACCGAAAGTATCTCCATTTGAATCGCACATAAATGTTATTGTTGGAAATGTATGTTTGTATGGTGCCACTTCTGGAAAAGCTTTTATGCGAGGAATTGCGTCTGAAAGGTTTGCTGTTAGAAACTCTGGAGCCGTTGCTGTGGTTGAAGGAGTAGGAGACCATGCATGCGAATATATGACTGGTGGCGTTATTTTGATCTTAGGTATATAAAGAAAATAAATATTAAATATTATATTAATATTTACATTAAATGTTTAGGTTTGACTGGCAGGAATTTTGCCGCTGGTATGTCTGGCGGGATTGCATACGTTTGGGATATTGATGATACATTTGAAAGCAAATGTAATTTGGAATTGGTGGAACTATCCAAGTTGGAGGAACCCAGCGATTTACTGCTTATCAAGGAATTATTGACAGAATTCATTGAACAAACTGGAAGTGTTGTCGCTCAAGATATTTTGAATGATTTTGAAAATAAGATGAAACAATTTATTAAAGTTTTCCCATACGAATATCAACGTGCACTAAAACGGGCAGCTATCGAGCAGAAAGTTAACAATAGCGTGAAAATTCAGAACGGCAATCACGAACCTAAAATCATGGACATCGAGGACGCAATTCCAGATCAGCATGTTGAAAAAAGGAAGGCGGAACGTGCTCTCGACAAAGTTCGAGGATTCATGAAATACCCTCGAGAGACTGGCTTGTACAGGCCTGCCGAGAAGCGGATGAAAGATTGGAATGAAATTTACAATTTCCAACATGTTCGCAAGGGTTTGAGGGTACAAGCTGCTCGCTGTATGGAATGCGGTGTACCTTTTTGTCAATCTAAAACCCACGGATGCCCATTAGGCAATATCATACCAAAGTGGAATTTACTAGTTTTCCAAAATCAATGGAAGCAAGCTCTGGATCACTTGCTGCAAACGAATAATTTCCCAGAGTTTACTGGTAGAGTTTGTCCTGCGCCATGCGAAACAGCCTGCGTACTTGGTATATCGGAACCTTCGGTTACCATTAAAAATATTGAATGCACTATAATCGATTATGCGTTTGAAAACGGATGGATTGTGCCACAGATACCATCAATAAGAACAGGAAAAACGGTTGCAATCGTTGGCTCCGGACCGTCCGGCTTAGCGTGCGCTCATCAATTAAACAAATGTGGGCATTTGGTGACAGTCTTTGAGAGAAACGATCGTGTTGGTGGATTACTTCAATATGGTATTCCCACGATGAAGCTGAGCAAAACCATAGTTCAGAGACGTGTCGATCTGTTAACTGCGGAAGGAATAATCTTCAAAACAAACGTTAATATTGGAAAAGATATTTCTGCTAAAGATTTAAGTGAAGAGTATGATGCTGTTGTACTTTGCACAGGTGCAACTTGGCCAAGAGATCTTCCTATAATGGGTCGCCAATTGAAGGGCGTCCACTTTGCTATGGAATTTCTAGAAAACTGGCAAAAAAAACAGATGGGAGTACACAAAGATGGTCCCCACGCCAAGGATAAGAATGTAATTGTTATCGGCGGTGGTGACACTGGATGCGACTGCATCGCAACATCACTTCGACAAGGAGCATCGTCGATCGTCTCTTTAGAATTGCTACCAGAACCGATGCACGAAAGAAGCAAAGAAGTCCCGTGGCCACTGCTTGTAAGATTATTCAGGGTTGATTACGGTCATGAGGAAGTTAAAGTTCGACATGGATCTGATCCCAGAGTGTTTGACACATTGACAAAGGAATTTATGGATGACGGCAAAGGTAATGTTTGCGGCGTGCGTACAATTAATGCTGGATGGAAAAGAGATGATACTGGATTATGGAAGATGAATCAGAAGGAGAGTACCGAGAAAATTTACAAAGCCGATTTGGTCCTTTTGGCTATGGGTTTTGTTGGACCGGAAAGAGTTATTGCTAGAGAGTTAGATCTGACATACAGCGCCTTATCCAGCTTTGAGACAAAAGATTACAAAACCAAAGTGTCCAATGTTTTTGCAGCCGGTGGTAATAATAAAAATGAAAATGATTAAATTAATTAAAATGTTAAAATATGTTTCATACTTTTTAGATTGCCGCATAGGTCAAAGCTTAGTTGTTAAAGCTATAGCGGAAGGAAGACAAGCTGCCAAACGAGTCGATGACTTTTTGAGCAATGGCCAGTCTGCTCTTCCCGGACCTGGAGGGATTATCCAACCTAATCCGATTCATTGTGAAGCTTGAACACCACAATATTTTAATTATTATCAATTGTATTAGTTACCGAAACACAGAATACGTGAATAGTATAAATGCATTTGAATTATTGCCTAGTTTAGTGATGTTGGCTAATATATTAACTTTCTATTGCTGTTACAATGTAGATTGGCTGGAACGACAGTAAAATGATTTCTTCTACTTCTTGAAATATGTGCACGAAGAAAATAGATATAAAAAGTAATTTATATTTGTTATGTAAATAGAAGACAATAAATTGGATATATTATAGTTACAGAATTTATTCAATTAAATCTAAATATGTATTTATTATATAATTTCCTATTATAATTAAGTAAAATGCTTGTATTCTATTATTAGAAATTGAAAATATGCACACGAAAAAAAAAAATGGAATTAGAATTCAAGAACATATGTTAACCAACCTCCCCTCGTCTTCTAATTTTTAACTTGTTTGTGGCTAGCGCACAGAACAACCTTGACACCATTTTGCCAGCCTCCGTAGTATTATAGTAAAGATTAACACTATCACTTGATTTGTACACAATACAGCGAGAATTTCATGATGGCTTGATAATTGGTTGTGGCTATCAATAATTTGATTAAGAAAGGTGTAAAGTTTCGATTTTGGATCAGAGAATAGTTCATATTTAATATTGATTTGTTTTGAATTTATTTGTTAAGGGCACTCAAAGAAAATGTTGTTTCGTGGCTCCATCAGATTTTGACAATATAACATTAATGCGACAAAGTTTATGTATAGTCGCATTTAATATAAAAAAGATTGCAATTGAAAGACAACGCCAAGAAAATATCTTTAAAAAACTAGAATTAAAGTTGCCTCAGTCAATAGGTTGATGAAGAAGATGTTGGAAATTTATTGAATGCAGAAGACAAAGGTTTTCAGTGGTTTTCAGTGAATGATATAGACAATTTGTTAGCAACCATGACAATGATTCATGACATTGACTTTTTTAGTAAAAATTATCCTGAATTATGAAATGGTGTTATTATTAAGCGATCCATGTTAAATATTTTAAAATGTGATTTCACATTCTATGTAAGTTGACTATTTAATAAAACTTTTTTTGTTCGAAAGCTTTTTATTTTTAGCATAGAACGTTTAATGACTTCATTATTTATTAATTTAAGTATTAAATGAATGAAGCACAAAGGGCACAAAGTGAAAATGCTGTAAAATCGTCAAAAGTAAACAATCTTTTAAGAAACAGTTGCGCCATCTAACAACTTATAACAGCTTTGACAGATGACTGCTTTGATATGTCAAATGCATTTGGTTTGTTGATGTTTTCAGACAGTTCTTTTTTTTTGTACAAAAATCATAAACATATTTTCATATTGGATTTATTTCACCAAAAGAACTAAATATGCTTCTATCTTTTAGAAATGATCACAAAGAGCATTTAAATCTGTTAACTAAACACTCAGTAGATGGTATTTAATTTAATTCTCCATTAATATCTTAATTGGTTATGTCTAATCTGAATATTCATTCTTTTCCAGATATAGTATATTTTTGCAAATTAGCAATTGGCTTCATCAACAATGGACCAAATAATATGATGTACAATAGAACTGCAACAAATCTTAATATTGAATTTCATACTGTCCAAAATTGTATATATGGTCTTATTAATCTGTTAATACTTGCCTGTAGACACAAGGTAATTAATTAATTTTGAAAAGATATATAATAACTTAATATTGTAGTTAAATGAAGCTGACTTTCGGGACTCAATTCTAACAATTGGATTTTCATGTGATCAACAGAATGTTCTATACGAGTTCTATAGGTCAAAGAGTGAAGAAATATCAGAAATATTGAAAAAGCAACTCATTAAGGATCCATATACTTATTACAATTTAGATTGGAGGTTTGAAATACAGGTATATACTATTCGCTCTAATATTTTGTTATATTATTTTCATTTGACACATATTTAAGCGATTTAAACGTTTGTTCTAGGTATCATCTAGATCTTTGTTAGATCAAGTAATTCCTTTGATAACAATGGATTTAGTTTTGAAAGACAAAGAGAAAGCAGATGAGCTAAAGCATGTCTTTCTGGAAGCAGACCCAAGGAATGTAATGCATATAACAGAAGAATTAGAGAAGGCATTGGCGGAATCGAAGTATCGTCATTTAAGTCGAGTACCAAGGACATTTATCGAATAATTTTTTTTTTATTATTAAGTGTATTCATTAAATTGATTATCTACAAAAACCATTCACTGTCAAATGACTTGCTGATATTGATAAACATGTAAACAGTTAAGTTGAAATTTATTTAAATCAAAAGAAACAATGAGAGGAAATGAATAGTAAAAAAAACAATTGTCAATAATGTATGATTCAATTCATTTTTTTCGCCTTGCCAAGAACCTTCTTTCTTTGGGAAACCATATGCAAGTACATCTGCGGAAACACTGAAAAATAAGCAAGATATCAATAAGATGTTTAAAGTATATCAAATATATTACTTACACGGAATGTACAAAGACATAACTGCTATTAGGAAGTAGCGGTAATTGAAAATAACGTTATATGTATTTGGCATGGAGATTGTCCAGAGTCCGGTATCCCCGACTTCTTGCTGGGCAGAATATAAACATAGCAATTCACCGGTGACTCCAATCGGATATAAAATGATGAAAGTCGAGTACCTGTATGCGGTTATTAACGATTTTTATTCGATTCTTGATATCAGCATCATGATTTACCTCAACCAGACGAGGAAATGCGGCACAGAGTTCATCAAATTCAGTGCGTAATTTGAATATCTGATTATTTCCGTAATTGACCAGGCGAAGAGCAAAAGCGGAAATCCGATTGACTTCCTGGGGAGTTCTGTGGCCATCAGGACGCCGCAAACAACGATAACTCTGGACGCCACCTGTTGGATCGTTATCATAGGGCTGGAAGAAACGATTCCAATAACAGCATGGACCACTTCCAGAAGAGCTGCGTTTTGAAAAAATATAACCGTCCATTTCACTTTCTCGTACAACGATACTTTATTGACATCTGAGTCCATATAATAATCAATTACTTGATACATAAGGTAACTCCATCTGAAACACAATAAATAAAAATAATCTATTTGCATATACATATTACTTTTTTTTTGATTTATTAAAACGCATACACAATTTATCCATGTATCCATAAATAAAGTTATCTTATATGCAATGTACAACTTATTATTTGAAATATATATATCCCATGTTACATTACATCAAATAATCTTAATACATTGACGACGGCCTGACCCACCGGTGGGTCATTAATTATAAATAATAGTTTTGTTGCTATGTACGCCACTGATTTTGACTGATTTGACACAAATATCTTAAGTCAATTACAAACTTCAAACGCCAATACATTTCTTATACATATTTTAATAATTCTTGAAGCAATTTAGAATAATACGTGATATTGTGACATAATTTAGGCATACTTTACAATTTAACTTGCGAAATATATTTGAAATTTTTATTCAATGCTACTTGCCGCTTCTCAGCTCAAGTAATCGAAGCGCAACGACATTGAAAATACAATATGATTACCATAAGCAGATATTATTTCTGTTTCTAAAAAAACATTGCTAATTTATTCAAATACAATACAAGCTTAGAGCTTGAATATGCACAAGATGATATATTCGACTTGAATAGAAATTGCAATGATCAATTATTATTATTGCTTATTATAAAACCTATAGCACTTTTTCTGTGTTTCAATAAAATTCGGACCCTGTTGAGTATATTTATTGAATATAACAAAAATAAAATAGGATCATTCAATAATAGAAATGTTTATTTATTTTTATGAACATCTTCAAAACATTTGATACACAGTGTCGGTTGATCATAACACTGTGCGCAATATGTAACAACTTTTTTTTGCTTTTTTAGTGGCAGTTGCACTACCTTCCCGTGAATATATTGTTTTATAACATTATCTGCATAGCTTTCTTGCCTGTCTTGCTGTACCAGAGTACGTTTCAATGAAATGTTTTTGATTTGCTTGCATCTCCGTATCGTCGTCATTCATTAGTTTATCAATATTTTTTTCTCGAAATTTTAACAAATCATATTTTTAGCCATTTTTATGTATATACCAAGCTGCGTTTTTATATTCTATTATATTTTTTTTATACCACTTAACACTTCTTCGTAAACAGTTATAATACGATGTTATCTAATAAGCAACATCAACTCCTTTCTTTGAATTATTATAATCAAAAACAGCATCAGGTTTCAGTTTTCCGCTCTTGCCTTCAATTGTAGCACACATATGTTTGTTGCTGGTCGTTAATATGGAAACTGGCCTTTTATCAGTACATTTTATAAATTTTACCCCATTTCGGTTCATCAAGCTTAAAATGGCTCCTCGTTTTTGTTTTGCTTGAAATCTATATTCATGTCGATTAATGTATCTTCCTGAGCATATTATAGATCAACATGTCTCTTTTTCATAATAGGTATCCATTATCTATTATTAAAAATTTGTTGTAAATGGTTATTTTCATCATCAGTACCCTCGTCTTAGGTAGCAATATCACTCATCTCTTCTGAGGAGGACGAAAGCCAACGAGAACATTGTGTTGATTTAAAACTTACAGATTCTTCCGAAGAACTATCGTCATTTTCATTATAATTCATATTTATTATCAAAATAGATATTTTCTTCCAGCTGAAACAACAATTGCAAAACCTTATTCGTGTATGTACAGGGTGCGGCAGAAATAACTCCCACATTTCAAGGGGGGGGTTGAAAAGAAAGGTATGAAATGGTAGAAAGACTCGATGCTCACTCGATGTATATTTTTTTTCTACGGTGCAACACTAAATTTTATAGAAAACCCTCGACTTATAGGAGTATTTCAAAAAGGAGTGTTTCAAAAAATAAGATTTTTTTTTCTTACCAGAAACAATATCTTCGCTTCGATTGTTTAGAAGCTGAGCAGCGGCAGGTACAATTGAATGAAAATTTCAATATTTTTCGCACAATTGTTATCAATTGCTTCAATATCATTAAAAAGTGTATAAGAAATTTAAACGTTTAACGAATATTTGACGTTTCACTCACTCCATAGGCGTCCACGAAAAATTTTCTAGGGGCAGGCAACCCGAAAAGCGCCGTCCTTAACGTGTTAATATAACAAAAACGAGTGATTATTTACTATAATCTAAATTAAATATCCACAAATATAAGAGTTACATAGTTAAGAGCAAAATTATTATTATATAATTATCCGTTAACAAAGGCGGATTTAGTTATGGACTTCTTGGGTTGTAGCCCAGGACTCCATTCAATCGAGGTCCCCCAGAGAGTATTAGTAGAAGGCTCTAAACCAGCGGTTGCCAAAGTGGTGGTCCGCGAGAAAATTTCGCTGGTCCGCAGAAAAATGTGGAATATACTTACTCATCATGTTAAGTTATCCTATTAGTGGTCCGCGGGATTTAAATTATGAATTAACTGGTCCGTGAGGTCAAAAAGTTTGGCGACCGCTGCTCTAAACCAGCAGTTTCCAAACTTTATGCTACTACGCCTCCCCGAAAACAATTTTTTTTCCGCGCCTCCCCGATTTTTTTTTCCGCGCCCTCCTTACCTTTTATTGTTTTAATAGATTAAATAATATAGACACGTTTTATTTATTTGAAGATATTATGGTATCAAAATTAATTTATCAAAAATTTTTGGCGCCCCTCAGTTTGGAAACCGCTGCTCTAAACAGTGTTAGTACAGGTCTCCAAAACCTGGCCCCCGAAGTTGACAGTCCGTCCCTGTCCGGTAATTTACATTTCACAGCGTAAAGATGAGAATGACAAGATAAACAAATCAAAGGTTATCGATGTTTGAATATATATAAAGATAGATGTATATTTAAAACAGGTGTTTTTTATGCATCTATGTCAATACGTACACATTTTTATTTATTCGCTTGTATTTTGAAAACGGCGTAAACGTATAGAGTTTGAAACTTAATAATTGCCAAAATTTTAATAATCCTATAGTACCAATAACTTTTCGGGAAGAATTTTTATATTTTAGTACTGGCAATTACTACCCTCTTTCTATATATGAAATTGATGAAATCAGTTTGAACTCACACTTATTTAATAATGATCATTACCATTTCTATTTACGACATAATTGAAGGTCTTCTATTTAGATTTTCAAAGAGTATGTCAATGTTATGATCATCTCTATAATTACAATTTCTCTATGTTTGGAATGTATCTAAAAACTACCTTTACAGTTAATTGGACCAAGAACTTCTCACCTGGATTTTACTAAAATAAATCCTACAATCAATAGCCACCATAAAAATGTATTTTTTTCGAGAATTGAATTTGTTATATTTTCTAGTCCTTAAGATTTGGGTTGAGAAACAATATACAGACCAGAGACCAGATATACAGTGGAACCTCGCTTAACTAGTTTAATCCGTACCAAAATTTCCAGATTTTTACTCGTATAGTGAAACATATACAATAATACACATAATATGTGTATACAAGTTTTAAAAATGATGTAGCAGGCGTGCAATCTTCTCTTCTCAACGTCGCTCGTTAAGCGAGTAATTTTTCTTACAATTCATTTTGCTCGTTAAACGAAATCCTCGTTAAGCGAGGTTCCACTGTATTCAGTTAATTATATACAATTAATTTATTTTACATTTTATAATTAAAGTGTATTATCAATTTAGGTTGTTTATAACTGGCTAATAAATTATTTTAATAATAATTTTTAAAAAATCTACATGCTTAATTCAAAATTTAAAAAAAAAAACTTGTTTATATGGAATTTTATGCAATTGAACATGACTCGTAATAAGTTGACGCATTAAGAAAACCATTAACATGTTCACAATAATAGAACAATAGAAAATATTGCTTGTACAAGCTTACACAAGTGACTTAAGCACCTTTCTTTTTTAAATGGAAGCACGTTTTAGCAATTGGTCTATTTAAGTTAGTACAGTAGTGTTTCTTTCAAAAATGTTCTTAAATGTATTCTATGACATCAGAACATCAAATGAATAATTTACTCATTTAAATTATATTTTTTGAAAAGTAAGTAATATTATGAAACAAAACTGGTATAATTCCACTTTCCAAAGACTTGAGAAAATAAAGTAGTATTGGAACTATCAATATTTGTAAATATGATTTAATTCTAATAGAGAAAATACGTTATTTAAATTATTATTTAAATCTTAAAAACATATAAATAGTATTTAAGTAGATTTATTTGGAGCGAATATGAGCATTTTTTTATTTGATAAATAATTACGATGAAGGTGCATTCTTCTTTTCTCGTAATTATATCAGCATTCCATAAAACTAAATCATGCAAATTGCAGGAAAATTAAAACTAATAACTATTCGTTATTAATTACCAAGTCAATCAATAGCAAAATTAACTACTTAAATAATGCTGGATTGTAAGTATTTTAATTTCAATATGAATTAAAATATAATTTTACGTTGGAAATCATCATATTTCATTTACTTCTAATAAAAGTCACTTTCAAATAAAAGTCATTAATTAATATCATTATTATATTAATTTATGAATGTGAATATACAAATAAAACGTAAACGTAATTACCCTATGGTTTGAGCGAAATTGTAGAAAATCAAGTACGCCTTGGCTAAAGGTCCACTGGTTTTCGCTTTTTTTGTAGCGGGTTTCCTGTTATTCTTTTCCATATTTTCTTAATGGAAATAATAAGTTATCAGATAAAATAACCTCAAATGTTTCGACAATGATTTGGGTTATTTGTGTACACTTCACGATTATAACTGTATGATTACAAAAGTATAACGTATACTGAGTCAGGAAATAAAGAGTACAATCGAATATTCTTTACTGCATCTAATAATTCAAACTCGGCAATTATATGGACTTGCATTACAATGTTGCCCATTTTACAAAAATCCACTGCAACTCGCTATGAATTTATTTGTAATATAATTATTATTATTATATTACGAGTTTTATTGACAATAAATATTATGGAATGATATCAATATTAACATAATATTGTACAATTTCATAATATATGAATTCTAATTAACTGAAATTTATTGTAGCGGCAACGGTGTATGTTTATATATTATCCTTTGACGTTCAATACGTTTAATAAGTTTCGATCTCCAAAAATCAACTGGTTCTAACCTAGAAATATGTCTCTGTTTAGGAAACCCAAGAAAAGTATACAAAGACGTGTATTTTCAGAACAAAATGATGATGAAGACGAAATGGAGTCCAAGGCTTCAGAAGCCCCAAAAGCGTCCAAAGAGGAAACCAAAAAGAAAGAAAAATCCAAGAAAGATCAGAAGAAACAATCTTTGTTAAGTTTTGAAACTGAAGAAGAGGGTGAAGAGGTTTTTCAAGTTAAAAAATCTTCACATAGTAAGAAGATGATGAGAATGTATGAGAAGGAACGTAAAAAGAAAGAGGCCAAAGACTTAAAGATCAAGGATGAAGAGAATAAAATAAAAAATAAATGTGCTGTGGATGTTTCTATGGACAATGATTTGGTGATTGTTGTTAACCACAAAATACCTAGTCCTCCACCAGCACCAATTCTTAGTGGACGTGATGCTTTATGTGCTGGAAAAGATGATATGTCATCAGATGATGAAGATGTTGATGTGAATCATAGATTTTCAAAACCAGATAATTTTAAGAGAGTTTTGGAATCTGGTGCTATACCTGATGCTGCAATGATACATGCTGCCAGAAAAAAGAGACAAAGAGCTAGAGAGTTGGGTGACTTTGTACCTATAGAGGATGAAGAACCTGAAGATAAAGGTCGACATATTCGGGAAGATGAGAATGATGGCAGTGATGAAGAAAGAATTGGTAAGTACAATTATAATATATGTAATTGTAATATACATTTTTTAAATTTGGTAGACATGGGTGCAAATCCTGTTAAAAGGGATCAAGAACGCCGTAGGGAACAATTCTATGAAGCTCAGGATTCAGATCAAGAAGTTAATGAGTGGGAAGACCAACAGATAAGGAAAGGAGTGACTGGAGCAATTATTAATCATGAATTGGCTTATAATGAATACAATAATTTACTACAGACTCAGACACAATATCAACAGAATGTTTATGCAACAAAAATTGATCCTGGTGTTCCAAGAACTCCAGAAGCTATTTTGGCTAAACTAAAGGAGGAATTTGAAATTACAGAAAACCGAAAAATTCAGCATGAGAGGCAATTAAGACAAGTGCAGGATGATTTAATAGATGTTGCAGAAGAATTGACTACACTCAAAATTGGAGCTCCTAAAGCAGCTGAAAAGTTTAGATTCTATCAAGAATTGCGTGGTTATATTACTGACTTAGTAGAATGTCTCGATGAAAAAGTTGCAGTAATTACTTTACTTGAACAGAAGGCAATAGAACTAATGGCTAAAAAATCAGATAGATTGATGGAAAGAAGACGTCAGGATGTTCGTGACCAGGCTGATGAAGTGACAAATTTGAGTAAACGGTCTTTAGGACAACGGGCTCCGGAGGATGAAGAAAAAATGAGAAGAGCAGTGGAGAGGGAAGGTCGTAGAACACGTCGCAGAAGAGCCAGAGAATCTACAGGAGAACCACGTCATGTGGAAGGCATGTCTAGCGACGATGAAATTCCTCAACAAGAGAGTTTATATTTTGATAACGAACGAGAACAAATTAACGTTGAAGTAAATGCCGTTTTTGAAGATGTCGTAGATGATTATTCTTCTATTGCAAGTATCCTAATCAAATTCGAACAGTGGAGACTAACAGATATGTCAGTTTACACTGAAGCGTATGCAACGTTATGTCTCCCAAAAGTTGTTAGTCCATTAGTAAGATTGAATTTAATTTTTTGGGACCCACTAACTGATACTAAGGATTTGGAAAAAATGGATTGGTACCGTACATTGGCACTTTACGGTTTACACGATGACGAAACAGAAAATAGCCTTAGTAAGGACCCTGATTTAAATTTACTGCCAACGTTAATAGAGAAGATAATCATTCCTAAAATAACGGTAATGATTGAAAAATGCTGGGACCCACTGTCGAGTTCTGAAACATTAAGACTTGTTGGTGTCGTTGGGAGATATATCAGGAAATATCCAACTTTGGGCCCTGATAGTAAAGCACTCCATAATCTATTTAACGCCGTATTAAACAAGATAAAAACGTCCCTGGAACATGATGTTTTCATCCCAATAATGCCGCGATTGGCTGAAACAAAAAATCCCTTTTTTCAACGGCAGTTTGCCAGCGGCTTGAAACTTTTAAGAAATATTACTAGTTGGCAAGGTATATTGAACGATAATACACTTAAAGAACTAGCAATAAATGCACTTTTGAACAAATATTTAATAAGCGGTATCAAAGTGAGTAATTTAATTGATGCTACTGCAAAAATTCAACTTGTCAATTTAATTTTACCAAGAGTTTGGTTGCAAGGTAATCAAACTCATTTGCAAATGTTTATCAATTGCGCAATGCAGTTAGCCCAGCAGTTGGATAAAGATAATCCTCTTCATTTAGAATCTATTGAACTTATTAATAATATTATAAAACCTTCACATAATCAATAAAAAATATATATTTATGAATTAGTTGCCTTTATTTTACCAACATTGAATAGTTTTTATTAGCATATTATTTATTTAATATATGTATTGTTCAAAAATATAACCAAAGGATCGAGGTCTTTATGCCTTAATGGCATATATTAAGTTGAATAGATAGTTGTTTATTTTGAGGATAATGGAACGAACATAATAAGAAGAAGAATTAAAGCACATGCAATTGGTAGCCCTGTATTGAAGGCATTGGTGATTTCCTTCAGCATAATTATATATAACTGAATGCGCAGCAAACTTCAAGTAATAGGCAGCAAGAAAGCGGTGGTGTCATAATTTTTTGATACGGAACAAGTTATATTTGGTATAACATAATAAGTGAACAAATATTTTATATTTATTGCATAAAGAGGATTGTGTTGGTCATTCTTTGGAAAATAAAAAAGGTAAATATCTATTTTAACACAAACAAATTCATGTAATATTTTACGCTGGGCTATGGCGTCTCTTGTTTGGTAGCTCTTAACCTCAATTAAAAGTTTGATTGTTTATCTATTGATTGAGTTGGAAATGTGCGGCAACACATACATTATAATAAATGTATATCACTTTTATAGACGTTTATATATTGATAAAATTAATACTTAAATGTTTAATATTAATAAACAAATAATGTATTGGTATTTATTTCTTGCATTAAAATTGTTAGTACTTTATTATAGAATAAGATGAGAAGGAAAAGTGCAAGAAATTCTTCAGCATCTAAAGCTTCTCCGGAGAAGAAAGAAGAGAAGACACCAAAGAAAACAAGACGTCAATCTAGAAGAAAGAAGCAATCATCAACATCTGAGAGTGACTCTGATGAAGATATTAAGCAGGAAATCCCATGTGCAAAGATAATTGAAAAAGAAGATCAAGGTGATGGACTAAAAATTAAGATCAGTGTTTCAACTCCGGAACGCACTAGCCGCCGTTTAAGGAACAAAGCTGTTGAAGACGAGATTATTCAGGAAACAGAAAAGCCTTCTCGCAGGAGTAGACGTCGTGGCGCGTCACCGAAGAACGAAGAAACAGAAGAAGGGGTAGAGAAGAAGGGTAAAGGTAAGTCTAAAGGTAAACATAAATCAAAGTTTGAGCAAAGTCCGCAAGTTGATGAACCCGAAATACAGAGTGGCCTTTCTGAAAATGTACAGGTGACGGCTCAGTCACCACTAACTGATAATAATGATGAGGATAATATTGACAATTTGAACCAGACGACCAATGATGATAAGACAATTAAGGACGATGTTCGTGTTCGCGATGAGACGGTTGATAATACTAAAAATAATAGCAACCAAAATATATTACTAACTGTAAAAGAGAATGAAATTAGTGATCCAGTTAAAACTTCAGAAATTCAAAAAGAAAGTGAGATTGTTCAGCAAGAAAGCTCAGAATTAAATGGTAAGTTTTATAGTGAAAGTTATTTTAAATTATTATTAATTATTTGTTTATTTAGAATCAAAAGCAACCAATTCTGAAGAAAATAGCAACAATCAGTCTATAGAAACACAAGAAACTGATTTAAAATCTACAGACACTCAGAAATTAATTAAAGATAATGCTATTGAAAGTCAAGAGGTGACAGAAAGTGCTAATATTAGTGAAACTGAAGTAATTGAGCATATGGAAGTGAAAGAAGATATTGAGAAAAAGATGTGCAAGGACACAAAAATTGAAGAGTTGAAAATGTCTGCAGATGATAATGGAAGCAGCCATCAGAAATGTGAAATCAAAGTTGAGGAAAAACTCATTGACTCTGATAACAAATTAAATACAATGGTTTTATTACATAATGAAGTGCCTTTAAAAAATGAGTATATAGCTGAGCAAAAAACAGAACCTGAAATTGTGATTGATTCAAAAGTCAATTTAAAAGGTGAATTAATTGAAAATAATGAGACAATTAAAGATGAAAAGAATTTGAAAAATGAAGTTATTAAGGGAGAAACCATTGAACAAAATGAAATAAATAATGAAGAAAACGATAACAAACATCAGATGTTTGCAGATGAAAACATTGAGAGACCTGAAATCATTAAAGATGAAGATAAGAAGATAAATGAAATAGTGAAAGCAGAATCCGAAGTTTCTGAAATGATTAAAAGAGAAGACTCAGACAAATTTAAACTTATATCTAATGAAGGAAATGTTAAAAGTGAAGTAGTTAAAAATGAGGAGATTCATGAAACACTCAAAGAAGATCTTCTTGAGAAACCTGTTTTAAGAAATGAAATTGTAATCAATGCTGAGAAAATTGTAGAACCTGAAAGAAAAGTAAATATTCAAGAACAAGTAGAATCAACAGAAGAAGTTATATCACAAACTGAACAACGTGAATGCGAGAACATTGAAATGCAGCAGGAACTTGAGGGTGAACAAATCAAAGACGCAGATATTTCTGAAATCGAACGAGAATTAGACAACAATCCATCAGAATTAGATAAAAAATGTCTGCCAAAGGATGCCGATATTAATACAAACGAAAAACGTATAAAATCCATGAAATGGGGTAAATCAAATATTGCTTTGAATAGTTTTCCTGATATTTTACCAATTACTTTGGAAAAAATCCATTTGATTTATCCTGATTTGGTACTACTTAATGAGACCGATGTTAAATTGGAAACGGTAAATACACAACGGAAACGATCTTCCTCGATGAAAGTGGACTGCACCCCGGAAATCAAACGATCAGAGAGGAAAGTGTCTATGGATACATTCGACGAAGAGGAATCACAAATTAAAATTGATACTGATGCAGAAAAGGCTACAGTAGACAATATAATTGCAATGAATAGAAAAATTTCAATCGTGGATGACGATGCTAGTAAATTAAAACCTCCACCGAGTCCTGCAAAAAATGAAAAGTCTGAAGTACTCTTTATTACAAATCTTGTGCGGCCGTTTACGCTTAAGCAACTTAAAGAGCTATTGGAAAGGACAGGCACCATTAAAGAAGACGGTTTTTGGACGGATAGAATCAAATCAAAGTGTTACGTCCACTATCAAACCGTAGAGTACGAATCTCTGCATCTTAAAATATTTCATGATTAATAATAATTAAAATTTTAGGGAAGCTGAGAATACAAGAAATGCTCTGCATGGGGTGCATTGGCCTATCGGAAATGGCAAAAAACTAATAATTGATTATTCTACGCCGGAAAACTTGAATGATGCCAGAAATCCACCAGTTATAATACCAGCACCTGTCGCTGTCTCCATTGCGGATATCTCGGAGAAAGAAAATAAGTTAAATGTAAATATATAGTTTTTCATAATAAGCAAATGTATTGTAAATGAAATATTATGTCATAGGAACAAGATGGAGCATTAAAGACAGCTCGATCAGAAAAATCCTTAGACGATAAAACAAAGGATAATACAATCACAAGTGGAAGGAATGTTTGGGAAATTGAGACGGAAAAACAAGATGATAATACCGAGACGCGTGGTAGGAGCAAGGAAAAACAAGAGAAACGTCGTTATTCGCGATCACGACATTCAAGATCTCCATCATCAGGTACGTAAAATTCTTTTTAATTATATGAATACTGTTTGAACTTATTTTATTGTAAATTATAGAATATACTAAGAAAAAACAAAAGAAGGTAGATGAAGAAATTGTACCTCAAAGAGCAATGGATGACCTATTTAGGAAAACGGAAGCTACCCCTTGCGTTTATTGGCAACCTTTAAGCCCTGAAGAGGTATGTCGAAATATCCACACATATAAACATATGTACATTTTTTAATATTAATTCTTGTATATAGATTGCTTTAAAACAACAACAACGATTAGAACGTATGGCAGAACATAAGAGAAGAATGGAAACGCAGACGAGAAAGAGGGGTTCGGATCAGTCAAGGGGGGCTCCATATAGGCGCAGATATTAAGGTTTAAAATTGGTTTGCGAAAAAAAAAAAGATTATTTTGGAACGAGTTTAATCTATATTATCATTTTTTTCTCCACAATCTCGGAAGTCGAAATTATTATTTTTATTTTTTTAAATTTGCATTTCCCCTTATTTCTGGGTTGTATTGTATATATTATTTTCGATTTTTATTCAGATCTTTCGTAAGTTGGAGTCTTTCTTATCATTAATATTATAAGAATGCTTGAGATTGGTTTGAATTGATGAATGAGATTGCATGGATTAATCCTTTTTTCTTATAGGATGTTTTCAGATTTCTTAGCAAGGTACACAAAAAATCACGTTCTCCGCCCCCCGAAAAAAACCTCTATTTTCATCAGAAAATTCAGCGACTGCGTTCAAAATATACAAATTGCTATTCATATGTAATGTAAATACAGATCAATGCGATGTAGTGAAATAAAATGATTTATAACACGAATAAGTTTATTTTATTTGTTTAAATTTATTTAATTACTTATAGATAATAATCGAAAAAGACGTCTTGACTAATAATTATAATAAGTTTGTAATAAATGTTACAGCTCCGTATATATCATAAACTTTACTTCAATATCAATAAAATTCTGATTTTAAGCTCTGTATTTAGTAAGATTAATAAAAATGTCGAAATAATCTATTACAAATAATTGAATGTAATTGGAATCTTGAAATTTTCAATGTATGTAAATCTTTTGGGTGGTTTGATATTTGCTGCCTATTTATATATCTACTTCAATTTATATACATACGAATAAAAACCATGACGCAAGATACACCCGAGGGTATATTCACGGTCACCAAGACCCTGCATACTTGTATCATGAGAACATAGTTTTTAAGGTGCTCCGGACAATCGTTACATTTTCGTCCTCTTTCGCACATGTACATCATGTGCACGGTACACGGTGAGCACAGTGTCAGATAGACAAACATGAAGTAACAATATACCAAGTTAATTATATATTTATGTTCAGAATAGAGAGAAAAAGACAAAACTTTTTTTTCATACAATAGGCAAATTCATTTATCCCTTTATAGTAAATTACAGTTATCTATTTTTACCGGAAAATACAAATCTAAAAAAATACAGAGAATTCTTGAGTTAGAAATTGCGATCGACTAGTTAAAAATAAAATTCAAAGTTTATAAAATAATTGATAAAAATATTTAGTGTACTTTTTATAAATTGAATGTCAGACATTTTAGAAATAAAATATAATCGATTGATTTAAAAACCTCGACCCCTGCCCTAGTACATAATATGATTGTATATATTTATTTATAGTCATTTTCCTATTGAGATATTTTATGAATTAAAATTTTATAAATTAGGGTATAATTTAAACATACATACGGATTATTAGTCGTATAGTGAAACAGTTTTCCCCATATAAACTAATGTAAATACGATAATGCGTTCCATGCTGGGAAAAAAAGTATAACTTGGTCTAGATTTTTAATGATTTTGCTTTTCATATCTATTGTTATTTTTATTCTGTGGGTTTTTATTGGGAAATGTGCAGGTGTTATTAAATTTTGCACAAAAAATCACAAATAACATGTCTGAACACATGTTTGGAAATATGTATGATCACAAACAAAACTATTTTCCCATTCACACACAGTGCAGTAAGTTTATATTACTTGTGTCAATCCGGGGTCTTGGTGGAATACTCTTTATACTTTTAATATTTATTTATATAAAAAAGCGTACATAGTTTGTTTATACATTATAATAATGGTTGGACACCATGTGTTTTGCATTTACACCAAACACAAATTATATTTGCAAAGTATAGTCCGTTAAAAACAAAGATGACAATGAAAATCGAAGATGGCTAATATATTCAAAAATGCACATAATATGTGTACATAAGTTTTGAAAATGATGTAGCAAGCGCGCAATCCGGGACTTCTCTTCTTCTCGTATCTCGTTATGCGAAACGTCGCTCGTTAAAATGACTTTCTTACAATTTATTTTGCTCGTTAAGGGAAATGCTCATGCGAGGTGTTCGTTAAGCGAGGTTTCACTGTATATTGTAAAAGAAGCTTGATGTTGAAACATGTATTATTCGTAAGATACTAAGATAATTTGATCATAATTAAAGAAGTCACGATATTATTAATCTATGTCCCTGGTCCCGGCTATCTGTCTTATCTATTTTTAGGATCACGTATGCTGGGTATTTCCTTAAGCAGCTTTCAAATGAACTACATATTTCAATTTTATTTATATTTTCCTAAAACAGGCATAGGACAAAAAAAATAACGCTTTAATCTGATTTGAATATTTATATCAAACAAGCAATATGAATATTTTGTTCACAGACCCTCACTTATATTCGTATGGACCGTAAAAATCGAGCATATTTCGAAAAATTCCGGAAAAAATCTCTTTGGAAGAAGTAAAACCCTGGATTTTAAGAATTTTTATTTACAGGATTGAAAAAATCTTTGAGAATAGCACCCACTAGTGCACTCTATTCGAGACCATATATGCTAATTTTATTTTAGAAACAAAAAAAGAGAAATATTTTTCATTTAATGTGCTCATTCATTAAAACACTGATTTTGTATATGTAAAGTGTGATATATCTATATCAACTTTCTAAGATACTACATTATACTACTACTAGTAATCTTTTTAATTGCACCGATAAGTAACTAGTTTGTCGTCATGTGTCATACTCGATTTTTTCTTGTAAATATATGATACACAACTGTAACAAATAGAAACTGCAGTTGATTTGTACAACTAATACACAATAAAATGTATGCATTTTCTAAATATTAAAAAGTGACATAAGGGAAGGTAAAACAAGGAAACTAAATTCTGGTTAAATAAATGCATATACTCTCATTTATTGAAAATGTAATATTTCGCGGATTCGTTGGATACATGATGGATTTCTTTAAATATTTTCTATTATCAAATGACAAGTCATTATAAATAAAAAATATAAACCAAATATTTGAAAACATTTGCAGTGTATTTTTTAATAACAATATCGAAGATATGAATATTAGTAAAATTAGAAATATCGACATAAATTGTACGTGATTAAATAATTTTATTTTAATTACATTGAACAGAATGTGTAATATTAAACTTAAGAAGAAAGAAATGTTCTAAGGGCTAGCTTTTTATTCATTGTCCAAATTTCTAATTATCGGTGAATATATAATAACGGATGAATGATTGTATCATCTTTATGTCAGTATTTCTAAACATACTGTTGTAACGGCCCATATAACATAGTGTATGCAGTAATTCTATAAAGTACGCGTCGACAAACAATCGTTTCAACTGTAAAGTAAATAATTTTAATTGAATCTGTTCTCAACAAGCGGAGAAATACGGAGAGATTATCTATCCACGAACATTTAAGTGTACTGAAATTGACGACTGCACTATACGAAAATATCTGTTCATTACAAGAAGATACTACGAGCTGGGTTGGTAGATGATTGCTTTCTTCACAAGCGGGTTGTTCTATTGTAGCAACTAAATTTAATGCAAAAATAATATTATTCTATTAATTCTATACTAATTGACGACTATTCAAAATAACAAATACGTACCTTTCTAGCAACCTACGTTTTAAGTCAGGTGGGTAAGTAACATAAATATATTCGTTATCTTTATCACTGGTGTAGTAATCTTCAGTATATTGATGACCATCTGAAGAAGTCGATGCTTCCTGTCTGAGTAGATGCGCGGGCGACGGTGTGGAGCGATCAGTCACACTCGCGCTAGTCACACTAACATCATCGGTTCTGAAATAAACTCTTGTTATTTAAGAATCTACTGAATACTCACATGTTTACATACTCAAAGAGAACCCAAATTATGTAATAACATAAACATATCCCTAGAGACAAAACCATAATAATCATACAAAGCAAACCCCAAGGAAAGGACCTAATATCACTTTGCGAGTCCTCCCAATATCTGTCGCATGTCAGGTACCAGCACACAGCTCTATTAAGTTCCTCTGCAATAAAAGAAAATAGCGATAAATTGAATTCGTATGAAATGATCGTCGTTAGTCACCTTCAACTTCTTTGAAATCCTTCAGCGAAAGTTGTATGAGCAATCCAGCTATACAATCCCTTACGAGTATTTCGCACTTGGTCTTTAATTTTATCAACTCTTCGGGTTTGCAGTTTGACTTGAGCTTTTGCAGCTCGGCAATTCGTTGTTGTCTATTGTCTGCGGCTGGGAGCGCGGAATCTACTAAATCTTCGCCGCATAAATTATTGAAGCTCTTGTTCTGCGAGTTTTCCTCAATTGTACTACCGTCATCTACATATAAAAGAAAAGCAATCATTCAATAATACGTGTTGGAATTGGGTAATGGAATTCGTACCGGATGGAGCTTCAGTTTGTTGACACCGCTCCTTCTTCTCCACTTCTTGTTTGCTGTTCTTCAATGTCTGCGCTACCGATTTTACCGTGTATTTGGCTACGTCCCGCGGACCTGCGGCTACCAGAGCTTTGGTATAGCCGGAAGCCTCTTTCCAAATTTCTATATCGGTATTGACCGTTTCCGGATAAACTGTTTTTGGATCTTGGGTGAGCAGCACATCGCACCTCATGATGTCGCAGTAGTCGGCTAGACACACTGCGTCTTCTGCCATATTTATGTGCTCCCTGTGGCGATTATCGAAATGCATGTCCAAGAATTTCTCTTCGAAAAAGGACTTTCCGCATAGACCGCACGTCCACTGCGACGGCCTGTGCTTAAATTTTGCTGCCTGTTGCGGTCCGAATATTTCGCGTTGATGATGGAATGGACACTCCAGCGGCAAACTGACCTTGTATTTCTGCAAAACGGGCAACCATTTGTTTTGAATAATCTTCCGTACGATCCTCGCATTGTCCCTTGGGCAGGAAATTTTGTAGACCGTCGGCCCTGGCCATGGGATCAGAGACAATAGGAACAGTCCTATCACCTAAAATATAATATTCTGTATAGTATTGATTACTTCATTGTCGTATTCCTGCATCATTTTATTTATTTCATTTTTTTCACATTCTACAATAGATATTTAAGCGCTCACCTGCAAATTAAAACTCGACGACTTCATTCATATTTTGTTAATGACACTCTGGGTTTAAAAATGAGACAAATTCAATGTTTACTTGTTCTGCGAACTACTCTTTTTCCACATTGGCCATCATCAACTCCGTGAAGCGACGCGCACGACGCCCGGCGTCTATTCACGCCATTACATACAATCTACTATCCAGTCAATCTTTTTGTAAATATTATTATTAACAACAATAAAAAAAAACTATAACATTCATTTTGTGGTTCTTTATTACTTAAAGAACTCGAAAGCCATTAACTTTTCTTTCAAATTTCATCGACCAAATTTCATTGATTTTGGTATTCAAGCAATGTGTTTTTTTTTGCATAAACAAAATATACTATAAATTCGGATTTTTTTAACATTTAGCTTATTTTTATTTATTTATTAAATGAAAAATTATTTTAAAGAATCGCTGTTCTAATGTTGTTATGGTAAGAGTTTTAATTAAACCATCAAAGATGGCGCTAATTGCACAAACGAGTTCTGATATTTGAAAGAATAATAGCAAAACAAACTTTCAACAAAGTGATATTTTTATATCTTCTATTTTATTTACACATTGGTTGATGCCCAAATTTGTAATATTTTATGCTAATAGTTATGCTATAGTTTTTTTTTTATATAAATGGTGAATAACAAACAACAAACTTATATTATTCAAAATTATATGATAATATTCATGTAAAACTATCGTTATTTTTACTATTTATAATTATTAAACAAGATAATATTTATTTTTTTATGTATCCAATAAGCATTTATAAGTTATGATCTTTTTTGTCTTATAAATATTAGATGTTATTTCATTAATTTTGTTTTCATTTTTATTCTGCAGTAAGAACAAACATATGTGTTTTTTTTCTTTGTGTAAATTGCAATGATGCGAAATGTGTGTATCAACACTATTTATGGAAATAAATGATAATTAAACCGGAAGAGTCATATCAATGTTATTATTTGTTCTGATATTATTTGTCACATAGATAAATTGCAAACATACATATGTCATTTTTATAATAAATTTAAAAAATCGACAAATTAATACCAACATAAGTTTTCATATAAGTGCACATACGAAACAAGAAATAGAAACAACAACAGAATAGAGGAGACAAAAGATTATAATTATTTGTCCATAGATATAAAAAAAATAACAAAAAGATAAAATCCAATCGGCTCACTCGCAATACAAGTTCTATGGATTCAGAAGAACTTTACAGAGGAGCAATATTTTTTTTATTAAAAAAAATGTAAATAAATTTTACATACAATAAATTTAATAAATAGATATAATTATTGTGATATCTGTTAGTAAATATATATCAGTTTTGTTATATCTTGAAGATGACAAAAAATGTTAAAATAAAATGAAACCAAATTCATTGTTCCACGTTGAATTAAGACTCATTGTAAAAAAAAAATAATATTTTTATTTAAGAATTTTACAAAAAATACTAAATTACAACTGCAATATGAATTAATATATTTCGATTTTTTTAAAATTTTCTTTCAATGTTATTCAAAATGTCATCCGCCGCAATTTCTACCGGCGGTATTTTTTTTTATAATTTTTTGTTATACACTTTTATTTATATCTTAAATGTCAACCACGAAACATGTCTAACATTTTTGTCGGTCCACGTGCGCACAAAGGTTGAAGAACGCTGCTTTAAAATAATTATAAGATCTCGTTATCATGGCCAGATGTATTTATTTATATAGAAGTGTATAACGAGTGGTTTTTAATCAAGGCACACTCCATTGCGTTTCATTGAAATCTTTAGCAATATTAATTGAATCAAGAAAGCATATGTTTTCTTTATTCAATAACATGCAAACAAAATTAATAGTAAGAATGAGAATATTGATGAAGATCCATAATTTATATTTGATTAAAATTTAATGCAACTGTCTGTTGTAAAATATTGACTGTCTCATACACATATTTCCAAATTTGTGTTCAGACATGTTATTTGTGATTTTTTTGTGTAAAATTTAATCACACCTCCATATCTCCGAATTAAAAGCCAAATAATAAAAATAACCATAGATATGAAAAATATCCGGAAATTTTGGAAAGGATTATGCTAGTTAAGCGAGGTTCCACTGTACAATAGTGTTTTGAAACCTTGTTTTTATTCAAGGAGGTTGATGCAGAAAAAATCTTTTATTGTATTTAACTCTGATCATTGAACTATAACACGTTTTCAATATGTAAAGGATATTGCTGACTTTTTAAATATTTGTCCATTAACATTTTTTCGACAGAAACTTAGTTAATTTTGGATTCATTTTCTTGAGGATAAATCTGAGTTCCAACGAGTGTATTGAAAATCAAATTGATCAGTGTCTACAAATAAGATACATTATAAATAATATTGGATACACATAAAATATTTATAAATAAGACAAAAAAGTTGAGGTAAAATAAGAATAAAGTTGAATAATTCTTTAGAAGCATTTATTTTCTAAATATAACCAATATAGGCGGAAGTACTGCGACCAATAGCCGTATGTATACATGAGTAATACATTTTATTTATTATTATTTAAAATAATATTTTTGATGACAATATACAATACATAACATAGAATACAATGTACTAATTGAATATAATATGCATAGATACGATAAAAATTACTATTATTATCTCCACGAAAATACATATATACATAATAACAATAATTTTAATAATTAACCAATGGATTTAAGTTCATTTTGTAGAAGTATTCTACTAGTTTTTTTGTTAAAATAAATCTTAAAAACAATTTGTGCAATAAGAATACCCGAAATTAAAACCAATAATGTTGCAATACAAATAAAAATAGCTGGTATAGAAATAGTTTCTGAAGATATTTTCCTTATTTCCCTTGAATCATTCATTTTACTGTACATATTTGATATTCCTTCGAATTTTTGCACCATCTTCTGAAACATTTGTATTAATTCTTCTCCGTTTTTTAGCTTCTTCTCTTCATTGGCATGAAAAATATTTGAAATATTAAAACCATCACGCGAAATCAGATTATACATAGACTTTAAGTCTTCGGTGATTTTAATAATATCATCTTTCGTTCTCTCGGCATTCTTTGTAATATCTGCAGATACATTTTTAAGTAGATCATTTTCGATATTTAAATTATTTTGGACATTATCCATTTGCTTATTTATATTCATTTGATTGCGATGAACGATTTTATCGTTTCTTTCAATTAATTCAGTAAAATTTCCTAAAACTGTTGTGATGTTAGACTTTTTTTCGGGGTTTATCATATTTTCAATTATATCTTGTATAATTGATGAATTTAAATTGGATTTAATTTCTTGAAATAATGTCATAAATGCTGAACTTTTGAAATCAGAGTAAAATTTTTGTATGAGTTCATTTGGATTATCTTTCTTGCTTGCAATGAATTCATCTATTTTTACACAATTCATTCCATATATACTTGAATTGCCATGCGACGAACCCTGAACAACATCGACTTTGCTTTTCCGGAATTGTTTTAATAAATGTGAAATCATTTCACATGACATTGGATTTTCATCAAAATTAATATTAGTTAATCCAATTATTTCCAATAAATCTTCGGTATCCAATTTAGTGAGCTTATTACTCTTTACATTTAAACTTTTTAAATTGTGAAAATTGTGGAATGAAATGCCGGGAATGGATGTAATATAATTATAGCTGAAATCCAACGTTGTTAACATATTGAGACCTGATAAACTGGAATATTCTAATATTTTTATATAATTATGAGAAAGATCCAAATAATTTAATGATTTTAAATTTTTGAACATTCCTAATTCCAATGTAGTAATATTATTATTTGAGATATTTAATATATTTAGTAATTCGAGGTAATTAAAAAATGTTTTGCTTACGTTATTTATGTAATTATAGCTCAAATCTAAATTGAAGAGAAAAGGCTCGTTAAGAATATCCGTTAATTTCTGTATTTTGTTATGAGATAAATTTAAATCTTTTAAATTTTGTGATTCCGAAAACGGATTATTTATTTTACTTATATTATTGTAAGATAAATTAATTTCTTCTAATTTCAGCAAATCATTAAAATAATCGAAGTTACTAATATTATTGTGCGATAAATCTATTTTAATTAATGAATATAAATCACTTATATTTAAATGATTAACATTACAATTCCTAATTTCTAAAACTGCTATATCATGGTTACCAAATAAATACGAGTCCAACGTTGGTAGAAAACTATCAGTAACAATAATTTTATATTTTAGTGATCCATAATTAGAATAATAATAATCATTATTAATATCAACGTTAATATCCAATGCGTTAGGTTTATACAATGATTTAAATGTACACACAGCATAAATTATTTCATGATTACGACCTGTGCAAGATCCAATAATCTGTTGCACAAAGAAATGACTTAATAGGAATATTAGAAGTAAATTGGAAGACACCATCTTCCTACAATTGAGATATGTTCAGTATTAGATATTTTAAGTAGTTGATATTTTATGTTTACTTACTTATTAAGTATGTGCACGGGAACTTGCAAAGTATAAATAATGTCATAAAGCAAATACTAGATTGAGATTTATCACATTGGACAGGATGCGTATTAGATTAAATGTTTATACGAATAGATAGAAAGGCATCCATTTTCAAACATTACATTGAACTGCGTCAATTAATTCAAAATTATTCGTTATGATGAGAATTGAACATATAATTTCGCTTCTTTCCTTGCGATGTAGGCGATAAGGACAAACGGCTATCTCTAAAATGAATAGCATATAAAATAAATACAGTGAACCTTGTTATTCTTATTACGAGGTGGAAGTTGTGATTGAGAATAAGGCATAACATGATTAAGCGATTCCACGGAATTCGGCATGGGTGGTTTTGTTTATTATGCGCCCCGGTCAAATCCCTTACATTTGTTTATTTGAAAAGGCGTATCGACTAAGTGACCTCATAACATCCATGAAGTCTCTTAGTAATTAATATTTTTATTATAAACAAATTTTAGAAGAATTAATTATTCATAGATTGAATAAAATAAATTAATTAGACTATATATTGTACATATTATTACTATATTTAGTATTATTCTTAAATTAATGTTATTTAAAAACATAAATCTCTACCTCTTGGTACCAAATTATCCGAAATAAAAAATAAGTAGGTTTCCTCAAATACTGAAAATTCAATTGGCATTATTTGTTATATTTCTTATATGATTTTAACTGAAAATATTAATAATGTCTTGCTAAAAATCTTTTGAAACTACTGTATTATTTACAACATGATTATTAATAACCATTATTGGTTTCTATCAAAAATGTATAATAAAAAGTTGTGTAAAAATAAAATAATTTCATAAAAAATAATAATAAAATAAATGTCCACTTCTACTCTTAAGGGTAATTTGTGTTGTGAAATGACATCCATTGATACTGCTGCTGATTGGTTATATGATAATTGCGGTATTAGGAACAATAATATAACTATTCTTTAAAAAAATTAAGACATAACACTGTCACTTAAAATAAAATAAGTTTTTGCAGTTTTCTTTTAATCCTTTTTTGAGAATAGAATTTTTCAAAAACATCAACTGAATCATCATATTGCAACTTCTTCATCAAAATCCTTTAAATTCGTTTCGTTGGTTACATTTTCGAATATATACGTTGTTAAATTTTATTAATTATAATAATACTTTTATAATAATAATAATCTTTATTAGTCACAATTGTAACCAAAGGGCTATCGGCGTAAGTCTTTCCGCCCTAACTTTTATAAATATGTATAAATTAAATATTGATATGTATTATTTTGCAATTATGCGAAAATAATGATGAAATCTATAATAGTTTGCTTCTCCATATGGAAGTTCCTTCTGTAATTCTGTTATAGAATTCTTTTTGGAATTTGATAAACATATGGCAACAAAATTGATTTAATCAAGAAAGCAAACATTTTCTTTATTGCATATTATTATAAAAACAGAATTACTAAATTGAGAATTTGGATTCAAATATTTGAATTTGTAGATTGTCCTAATTATTAATAATTATTATGATTTAATATTATTGTTAACTATTTTTTATATCTGATAAATAAAGTATTACTAAAAATATCAATCTATATTAATGGTGTATAAGATTATAATATATGAGTCAAACGAAGTTGTAAAATTGTTTAATAAAAAAAATGTTTTGTTGATTGCCCATACCAACTTGATTATTGTAAACTATAGGAGTCAATTGAAAACATTTTTTCAAGGATTCAAAGATGTGAAGGGGGTCGAAGTAGAAAAAAAGGTTGTGTAGTGTACTGCAGAAGTTCAACAAATATGCCGCTGGAAATTTAACTGTAGGTTCAAGTGTGTCATAGCTGTGGTTTTGTGTTGGGGGCCCAGCCACCAGGGTATACTGGGTAACGGGAGGCTGATGTTCTGGCAGGAAGAGATCATCGACGTGAGATCATCAACATCAAGCTAAACTACATGGACACATATCCGCATATCAGAGTGGATGCTAAGTTGGAATGGCAACGCAGATTCGAGGTGGAGAGCGAATACAAGGGGTTGTTCTTTTATGAATCCATAAAAGAACAACCCCTTGACAAGACAGTCAAGAGGCACCCATGGTTTTTGAAGATGGGATTCAGCAAGAAATCGGAGATTGCAGTGCTCAGTCGTTTGAGATCGGGACACACGCTGGCCCCGGTGCATTTGGCCAGAGTCGGGTGGCAGGACTCGGATAGATGCAGCTGTGGGTCTGTGGGCTCGCTGGATCACTTATTTTTTGAGTGCGAGCAATATCAACCAGCCACCGAAGTTATATGCAGAGAATTAATAAGCAACAAGGTCCCGCTACCGACATCAGTTCGGGCGTTGATTAGCTCAGAAAACGAAACAGTATATAAGTGTCTTTTAAAATTTATTAAGAGTTCAAAAGTAGCGCTGTAGACCACCAAATACACGTACAGTCCCCTAATGACAAAATCAATCAACAATATCCATGCGAGGTCTTTCCTAACACCGTTGTACTGAATCGCTGAGACCCTGATTCGAAAGTTGTTAATTAGCGTAGTCGTCCCACATGTCATTTTCCCCTGACCCCAGTAACTTAGACCAGTGTAAAGAAATCTCAAATTAATAAAAACCGTGGCTGGCGAAATTGTGCAAGACGCGCAGCCAAGTGAAGTGTGGAGAGGAAAAGGAAAAAAAAAACAAAAAAAAAATGTGTGTCATGAGACAAAAAAGCACTGATGTATAAAACAACACTACTTCTAGATTTATTTTTCATTGCGGCTATCACATTTAAATTTTGAAACAGTTGATGATTTTTCTCATTTCTTAATACATTCTGTGTAAACCAAATCACCAATGAGTGAAATTATAAATAACAATATCATGGTATAAATAAAGAAGGTAATAAAGCTTGAGGTCAAGAAAAGTATTTACTAACAGGAATAATAATTAAATAAGACAATAAATAATATGAACATTCTCAACATTTCTTCTTTTTTGTAATATGCATATGCTACTTCTTAGTAGCATATGCATATGCAATATTTTTAGAAAAAAGAAGAATTTTTTGATACCGTTATTAATAAACACTCAACGGATCAAAGCTGGTGAAAGAATACGTGTTTCTGGGCATCATATTCGACAAGAAACTCACCTCATGTCAATTAATTACTTAATACTGAATCAGTAAAAGACATTCTAAAGATGTTTTTTTTCCTTCATTCGAATGTATATTAATGTTATATTTTATAAAATTATAAAGTTAGAATAAGGACAAGGACATTAACACATGCAGTTCAGTTTATAAAATATTTAATAATTTCAAAATTAATTCGTGTACTGGATAACATTTGAAACTATGATTACAATTACAATATAAACATCTATATATATATAGATACAAAAAAATGACAAATATAGTATTATATATAATTAATTCAAATCATACAATTCGTTGTGTTCCTGATGTTGCTGTTGGTTGGGTTTCCAATATATATAACATTTAAATATAAGTTGCATAACAAAGCATATAAGGAAGCATCCTAATAGCACATTGGTAAACATTATTTTATTATTTAGTTTTTCTTCTTTTACCTGGAGGTTCTGTATTGGATTGTACAGATTGGAAACGGCGAACAAATTATTGTTTTCTTGCTTCTTGCTTCTGGCAATATCTGCAGTTAAATTCACCAATATATTCAATATCGTTTCATTTACATTATTACCTCGAAGTGCGACAGGAATATCCTTTATAGCAGACGAATCAAGATTTTTAAAAAAATTAAACAAATCGGATTTCTTAAAGTCAGCATAAACTTTTTTTACAATTTCATTTTCATTGTCCGAATTTGATATTATAACTTCTTGGTCGTACATACAGTTAATACCATTTAGACTAATATTTCCAAAAGAACTACCGTGAATCACGGTTACTTTCAACTTATTAAAACTTTTCAGTATATGAGCAATCATGTTACAAGTCATAACATTTTGATCGATATCTATTTTTTTTAAATGCGTTGAATGAAATAAATCCTCAGGTTCTAACATTGTCAGACTATTATTTCTTATGTATAAGTTAACTAGACTACCAGTATTGTGAAATATATTATCAGGCAGTGAAATTAATTTATTGGAACTCATATCCAGCGTTTCTAGGTGACTTAAACCGGAAAAACTTGATATTTCCAAGAACATAATGTTATTATGTGAAACGTTCAGATATCTTAACGAATTCAATTTTCGAAAATAACCAGAATATACTTTACTTATATTATTATTAGCAAGATCTAAATTAATAAGATTAGGCATATTTTCAAAAAATGTTAACGTGATGTTATTTAGTTTGTTAGAACTTAAATCCAAGTCTTTCATAGTTTCTGTTCCGATAGAAATATTAGGTAGATTTCTAATTCTATTATGAGATAAATTAAATGTAATTAATTGTTTATGTAATGAGAAAAAGTTTGATATTATGTCGGTCACTGAATTATATTGCAAATCAATAATAATTAAATTTGGAAAATTGTTAAGATTATTCAGATCGCTTATATTATTATGAGAAGCTTCAAATATTTCTAAACCAAATATTGTTTCATCTGCATAAATCATGTTGATTCTATTATTAGGAACTTGTAATATTTTTAAAGAACGAGGTACATAATTGTTCCGTAAAAACATATCCATAGACAACGTCGGTATAAAGCTGTCAACAATTGTTATATTGATGTTTATGTCTCCGTTTACATCTAAATTCTTAGGTTTATATAATGATTTATAAAAGTTTTTATATTGATGATCATTTGGAATGTAATAACAAGAACTATCATATGGAAGAATAGATAACTTCAAAATCAATAGTGTTAGAAATGTTTGCAATTCCATATTTTGCACTGTAATTAAAAAATAAATATTTCAATTTATATTTATAAAATGATCTATATATACTCACATTGCTGTTCACTAGCTCAGCACCAAAAGCAAAATAATCATTTTAAAATGAACTGCGCAGTTATATGACAACGACAAATAGATAAAACATAAACATTTACAGTGTACAATATTTTGAATTAGGGCAATAAGACCTATGGTCAATAGACCTTTACAGCAATTCAATTTTATTTTTATTATTAAATTGAGCTTTTTTATTTTGTAATTTATTGTTGCAATAAATATTATTTTAAATGAATTATCAATACAATTTAATAACCACAATCGAATTAACAGATATTTATATATTAATAATATACAGTCAATAGCAACAAACTATTATAACATTCAGTAGATAATTATATATATAAAGTTACCAATCGTCCTCTTTTAGAGAGGACAGTCCTTCTTCGAAAAGTGTCCTCCTTTTCGATATTTTAAAAATAATGTGTTAATCTCTGTATTCAGAGAGAGCCGAACTGTTACTCATCATGTGACGATACAATTCTTTTTTTTTCAATAATTAATTATCGGAGATATTAATTTATTTTGTACATAATCAGGCATCTACTTTCCAGAAAACGATTAAAAAATTGCAGGTGAACATATTTCAGAGCATATTCACAGAAGTTAGTCTTATTTTGAACGATTGTGTTCTTAAATATAAATCACGATTTGAAGAAAAATTTATTCCTCTCATAATAAAAAAAATGTCAAACTTAGAGGAATCAAATTCGAGCATAACGGAAAAGTTTACCAAAGGAGTGCAAAATTTTAACCAAATATGTCGAAGAATGGTCTGGAACAAATATCACAGGAAATAACAGTTTTCATTGGTGTTTTTTGACTTCATCGCAAGTAAATTGGGCAGATATTGAAAATTGTTTTTATCGAAAGAAATACCTGATATTAAAATCGATGTTATTGTCTGTTTGAATGTATATTTAAATTCTGATAAATTAGAACAATGGGAAAATCAACATGAATTAAATTGATAAAAGATGGGTGGCAATATTTAACCATTTCAAAAATGAACAAATTCCATATGAAAATTTAGTTATTCTTGTTGAATTTACGTTTTGCTTCCTTGAAACTAATGCAGCGATTGAAAGAGTTTTTTCAATTGGTAATGATTTTTGTACAAGTGAGAAGTCAAGATTGAATGTTAATATTCTAGCTGCGGCACTTACCTTAAAATTCAATATGAAGGATATTTCTTGCTCCAAAATGTCCAGTATATTGTTAGAAAATGATATATTGCCAAAAAAATAAAAATATTCAATGGAAAAATACTCCTTTAATTAAATAATTAAAAGGGATGTAAATATGTTTCATTTATTTACGTTATACTTTTTTCTTAAATATTTTCGTCCTCTTTTTAATTGTAAAAAAAAAAATTGGTCACCTTAATAAATAATGATTATAAATGTTCCTCGTGAATACATTTAAGTGAGTTGTTCTTAGACTGCCTTTACTTTAAGTCAGTAACAAAATAAGTACATATATTGAATTGCTATTGACTAGTTTAAATTAAATTTATATTTAATTATGATATCAATGGTTGCGTCTTTTAGTTACATTTAATTATATGCCTTATGAGCCTTATCACAAAATTTAATGCATCGCATCTCCATCTGTAATTTATTGCTCAAACGCAATGAAAATGTTTCGTGTTTAAACGTAGCGAAAGCGAATTATTTATAATGATGATTTTAAGTTATTCAAATTTATCCAAAATTCCCAGAATCAATTTCTTTTGCAAAATGCCTTTTTTTCTTATCAAATTCGGAGGTTCTGGGGGCATGGAATTTTGAAATTACCGGAAAGATGGTGAAAAGTTATCGGTTACACAAACCGACATATTGTGTATTTTCTTAATAAATCATAAATTTTAGTTTAAATAGTAAGTAAATAAACTATTGGATATATTAGAATTTTTTCAAATTTGAATTTAGAAAGAAACTACTATTAAATTTAAATTTCTTTATTATAGAAGTAATATCAATGATCTCTTGTACATTATATTATCATTTCCCGGACTTATGGTTTACCATAAGAGTAAGAATTCTATTTAGTTTTTTTTATTTTTCTAATGTTATTTTGTTATAAAACACTACTGCTTCTGACATTGTTTAATATTTAGTCTTAGTTTTCGAGCGCAAGTAATTCCTTTGCTTATAGTCCCGGCTTCACTGCACTCTCCTTTGTTAAGCATGATTTGTAAGAATAAATAATATTATGCTTTTATCGTATCTTTACCAAAAAAATTAAGACAAGTAGACAAGTTACATTCATAAATATTACGTAATATTTTATAAAAATTTCAAATAATTTATAAAACAATAATAATATTCATACATATTTCACAAAATAATAATTATTATAATTTATTCGCCAAAATTACAGACTAAAAATTAGAACAGACAATAAATGAAAAGATAAAATAACAATTATATAAACTTAAGTTAATATAACTGGCTAAAGGACAATAAAACTAGATACCTAGACTATAGATACTACAATTGTTAAATACATTTATATCATTTCTTGAAATTCATTTTTATGAAATGTATTCTTCTTGTTTATAAAGAACATCGAAAACAATGCGATTATTATTATACAAGATATTAAGATAAGGACTGCCACAGTTATCAAACCATATAATATATTTGATAAATTATTGTTTTGTGCCGTTTTTGTGTCATCTACAAAATTATCCAAACGTACCGTTTCAGGTCTACTCATAAATTGCTGTACCACCTGCTGCAATTTATCGAACAACTTGTTCATATTATTATTGGTCTCTTCGTGATCAAATTTAATATTAGTTAAATCGTTATTATACTTATTGAGTAAGGTTGTTAAGTTGTTCGAAAATATTGTTAATTCTGTATGACCCGTTGGAGCATTTTTCTTGGAGCCGCCTTCACCATTTTGAAATTCCAATTTAGTTATAAATTCCTCGAATGTCTTTTGAACACTTTCTAAAATGCTACTAATATGTTCCATATTTATATCTGTTCCGTTTTTTAAATAATCACCGTTGAGCTCCATTATCGCAGTAACATTATTCAATAGATTTTCTAGATTTCCAGTAAATTTCTCACTAAATTTAGAAAGAATGCTTTCAAAATATATTCCATTGAAATTTGGATATTCTGTGCTATTGGATTTTAATATTTGTTTGTCCTGATTAGTATATGTTTCAAAGCATTTAATACCATATATAGATATATTATGTACAGTCGAGCCTTTAATAACTCTAACATTATATTTTTTTAATGTTTTCAGCATAGCAGATATAACCTGGCACGACATGAGGTTTCCATCAAAGTCAATAACACTTAATTCTGTTGCATCTAAAATACCTTCAAGTTCTAGTTTAGTTAGTTGATTGAATGCAAGATATAACTTTTTTAAATTGTGTATGTTGTGAAATAATATAGCATCTATGGTCATGATTTTATTATAGCTAATATCTAATTCAGTTAAATTAGTTAAACCGTATCCAAAGGTTTTCATATTAAAAATTGTAATATTATTACGCGATAGATTTAGATAATTTAATGATGATAAGCTATTGAATAAGCCATAATCTAACTTGACTATATTATTATATTCAAGGTGAAGTTTCTTTAATTTAATCATACCGGAAAAGAAATTTGTAACTATAACATATATATTATTTCTGCTTAAATCTAATATTTGTAGAGCATTTAAACCTTCCCATTTTTGAGACAATTCGTTTAATTTGTTGCCAGAAACATTTAAATATAATAAATTATCTAGTTTATGGAATGTATTTATATCTAATGATGATATATAATTATTAGAAACATTTAACGACATTAAGTTTTTAAATCTATTGAAGTAAATTGCATCAATACCTACTAATGCATTATTTGTTAGATCAAACACTTTTAAAGGAACATCAGTTAAACCATCATCTACTAATTTACTTGTTGAACAGTTCACAACATATAATTTGTTGATAGATTTAATTGCATATTTGTAATTATTCTGAAACATTTTAAGGCTTAATTCTGAAATTAGACTGTTTCTGATATTTATTTCATTAAGCCTATTATTATTTATTTTTAAAATTGAAGGTGAATATAATGATTCGCATTTATACGTCAAATAATTTTCTTCACATAGTGATATAACTTTTACAGTAAATATGTTAAGTATAATCAATAAGATGAAATATGTGGATTGATTCATGGCAACTCTGAAACATAAATATATTTTTTAATAATTAATTAGTGTGTATGGTTAATTAAAAAAATTATAATATTATCTATTCATTCGTTTAACAATTTTTATTGTCCCATTTTCAATCTACAATAGTTCAGAAAAACTAATAATTGTCTAGAAATAAAATAAGTATGTATTAGATTTTTTTTCAAAATATCAACAATTATATTTCAATTACATTAAAGTTATTATGGAATCAAGTTCTATATTGAATATAATTTTTATGAAAATATTCATAAATAATAAAATTATTAATTACCTGATTGCTAGTTTGCTTGATGGGAACAATTTGAAGAAATAACGTGTATGTACACAGCAGTTTTACTGAGTGGTGAAATCAACTGACTGACAATGAAAGCAAAACAAATTTAGGAAGTGTGAAATGAAGAGATAATTTGTTTATTTATCTATTATAGAGCGGAAATACTCATTCTATATGTATTGAATACATGCACATACATATAAATATCAGCGAAATAGGGATTGAGGCTTTAAAAACCATATTGCAGCCTAATGGATTTTGAGGTCCCGGGCATGTGAGAGAGGATGTGGATAGTTGACAACCGAAAGACCGCCTATTGAAATCCCGTCTTCCCCTAATGACAAAATCAATTCACAATATCCATCCGAGACCCCGATTCGAAAGTTGTTAATTAGTGTAGTCGTCCCACATGTATTTTCCCCCTGACCCATGTAACGTAGACTAGTGTAAAAAATCTCAAATTAATAAAAACAGTGGCTGGCGAAATTGTGCAAGACGCGTAAGCCAAGTGAAGTGTGGAGACGAAAAGTAAGAAGAAGAAGAAATCCCGACGTTCGAAATCCCGAGTGTATCGAAATCCCGGCACTTTGCACAAAAAATACACGTAATATGTCTAAAAAGTTTTCAAAATGATGTAGTGGTCGCACAATCCAGGACTTTCCTTCTCCTCGTCACACGTTATGCGAAACAATGCTCGTTAAGCGAATCATTTTGTGTTACAATTTGTAATTGCTAATGCTAATTACACAGTCCTTTTCACTGTGTATTTATACAATGCCAGAAATATAATTTAAAATATGTGTTTAGAGTTGCCTATAATTATATTCTTATTTATTAACCTAACTTATGCAGTCAAATGACATAACCCTACATTAACTTCCCCAGTCCAAAATAATAAACTCTTCGTATAATTTTGCATTAAACAACAATGTCGTTTCTATCACGAAAAGGTAAAGAAAAAAATATTTAAAATAAATTACTTAATTATATTGTTTCAGGGTTTTTGGATGTGGTAAGTGTGTGCACACAAGCAAAACGTTTCCGAGGTAAAATTAATATTCAGAAACCTCAAGTACCACACTTTGAAAGAGCTAGATTACTGGCAGTTACTAAACCAATTGTGATAAAGCAGAACAAGTCCAATCAAAAGGAAACTGAATTGTGCATGAAAAATGTCAGATTTTTCAATAAAACCTATATTGAGAACCCATTACAAAACATCTATGCCAATGAAACTCTGGAGAAGTTCCAATCATCTAAAATGATTGTATTCTTTCATATGAATCCAATGAGTGCGGAAGAACATTTTAAAGCATATGTAACATTCAATAAGCAGAACATGTTATACAAAAATATTGGCAAGAAAACATTGGATATTGCATTGAAAGGAACACCATATGAAGCTATTTTGAATTTCTATATGTGCCATAATATGATTGTGTTCAGTCCTGAAATGCAGATAAAAAAATTATTGAAGATATCAAAGAGATTTCCTCAGCTGGTTGTTTTAGGTAATCATTGTATTTGATATGTAACAATTGACATACATACATTAATTATGTAATTATTTTAGCTGGTGTATTGGATGGTCGATTTGTCAGCAAAGACGAATTATTGTATTACAGCAATATACCAAACATACAGACAGCCCAGGCACAGTTAGTTCATACACTGAACAGTATTGGTGGAAACATTGTTAGCCAGTTAAACTGCCATCAACAAACTTTTGTTTCTCAACTATCTGAAAGGATAAAACAATTGGAGGAAGAAAAATAAAATTCATATTTAATTTAAATAAATATAGTTTAAGTTTCATAATTATTTTATTTCACTATGTCCATCCACTTACATATTGAAATTTTAGAGTATTTCAAATTTGATAAATTATAAATGATATATATATTTCATTTTTTCTTTATTTAAAAACTTATTCAGAAAAAATCTTTTGTTATTCACGATTTATACATAATTGTAATATACTTATTTCTCCTTAGCTTTGCATTTTGTTAAAATTCTATTTCTAATGGAACAATTGAAAGATGTTATTGATGACAAAGTTAAGTTTGAGGAAATATGAAGGGTAAATGACGAAATTGGTAGATTAAAAAGTCAGCTTGAATATAATTATTATTGGTTGAATATCTACTATTTTTTGTGGATATCGTATTTTCCATTGGTAATAATTACTGGAACAGTGAAAAATCTCTTAGAGTCTAAGGTTCATCTAAATTATTAAGGTGACCTTCTATTTTTTGTGTAAAAGGTGTTCGAAATTCCATAGGTTAAGATGATTGTAGTTGAACCTTACAGCTAAATATTTTTAAAGTAATATAAAATGAACATCGATTCTTTTAATTCTTAAAATTATATTTTTCTGTTGTATGATATTTTGGATAACTATAAGCAATTTTATAAAAATTCTAATTTATTCATAAAAAAGCAGTAGAAATCTCCCTATAGGGATATTCAATATCTTTTGATCAAAAATATTTTGTTGTCTTGATGAAATAATGGTGTTACACATTATTTCATGGGTTATAATTAATTGGTTATTTATTTGATCATATTGGCAGGTAAGCAATTATAAAAAAATGTTATGTTAATGATATTTAGTAGTAAATTAAAATTTATTTCTAACATAATGGCTTTATCATGCAAACAAACCATTATGTAGCAATCAATAGTACTTCTGTTAGAAAATATTGCATGTTACATGGGTATAGTATATACGTTATCTATTCGTATATCTTTACTCATCATATAAATATCGATTTAAAAGGCCGCTGCCATAGCAACTGGTCTTATAGGTTGGGTTCCCGTGGCTTTTGCCGTTGCATTTTAGTGGTCATCCGAATGTCACGAAAGGGGTTTTGAAAGTGTAGACATGGAAAAAATATACCGTCTCAAAAAGGTATTTAAGAAAACACACGACACGAACATAATCACAATTTTGTTCTCCATGATTAGAGAATGGTGTATCCGGAAATGTTGAATTTGGACCAAGTGACCAGAAAGGAATCTGCGAATTCAAATGTTTCCTGGGTCAGCGAGCAAAGTCAATCCCCAAATCATACACCGATTTACGACAATGGAAAAGTTACGGATGATGTGAAATCACCGTCGCTGGCAAGCTCCTCAATTTCAATGTGAGACGATCGATAATTTAAATCTAAAAATCACAGAACAAAAAAAATAGATAAAGTAGTAATTGCGATTTTTTTTTTTGCATTTCAGGGGTGCAAACAGACAGTTCATCCAAGATCGGATTCGACATTTAGTGGATGCGTTCACTTATAGGGCGAACGCAGCGCGCGAACGAATCCAAATTCCACAAACTCCGTCTTCTATAGGAAGTCATGAAAACTTGGAGCCACCACCGTTGAAGGTGCAACCTAAGATTAATGTTGTTCCTGCGGCTCCCGAGGAATTAAAGAACAATACAGTTAAAAGCGATCTATGGACGCAAATTAAAAATATATATACAAAAAAGGTTATTGATCCTCAAGGGACTATCTACGTTGTGTGGATGTTCATCGCTGCTTCCGCAGTGCTTTATAATACGTGGGTTATACCGCTGAGAAGCACATTTCCATACCAAACACCCGATAATAGAGCACTCTGGATGTTTTTCGATTATTTTGCGGATCTAATCTATTTAATGGACATCGTTCTCATTCAGCCACGAATTATGTTTTTGAGCGAAGGGTTTTGGATGAAAGATATTAATTTTACTAAGCAAAATTACATACGCAAGAAAAGCTTTAAGGTGTCGTAAAATATAATCAATTACTACATCACCATATATTAATATACGCATTTCAGCTTGATCTTGTATCGATACTTCCTCTAGACTTACTTTATGTGTTTCTGGGACCTGAAATGGTTATATTGCGATTTCCGAGATTCTTCAAGCTCCATACATTTTGGGGATTTTTTAATTTAGTCGATAAATTAATTGCTTCTCCTCACATAGTAAGAATTTCAAGGACGTTACTTTACATGATGTACCTAATACACCTGAATGCATGCGCATATTATGCGTTTTCTGCGTGGGAGGGTATTGGTAGTAACAATTTTGTATTCAACGGAAAAGGAAATGCTTACATTAAGTGTTTCTATTTTGCGACGAAGACGGCGACGTCCATTGGTAAGAATCCGAAGCCCACCCAAGAAATTGAGTTCATGTTTATGACATTCTCATGGTTAATGGGTGTCTTTGTATTTGCTCTGCTAATTGGACAAATTAGAGATATTATTGCAACAGCGACTAGATCTCAAACAGAGTACAGAAAACTTGTAGACGAAACGCTTGAATACATGCGGCGCTTAAATTTACCACAAGATATGCAGAGACGTGTCAAACTATGGTTTAATTATACATGGGAAACTCAGCATACTTTAGGTATAATTGCAATATCAACAATAATAATAATATTTTTGATATAAAATTTATTTCAGACGAAAATACGATAATGGATTGTTTGCCTCATAAAATGAAAACCGATATAGCGATCAATGTTCACATTCAAATTTTAAATAAAGTGAAACTGTTCGCTGATTGCGATGAAGCATTGCTTAGAGAGTTGGTCCTGCAACTTCGATCGGTCATTTATTTACCCGGCGATACGATATGCAAGAGGGGAGATGTTGGCAAGGAAATGTACATCATTCAATCCGGACATGTTCAGGTCATTGGGAAAGACGACAATGAGGTTTTAGCCACTTTAACGGAAGGGTCAGTCTTTGGCGAAATCAGTCTTCTTGGTATAGCGGGAATGAACCGCAGGACTGCGGACGTTAGGTAATGATGAACTGAAGGTGAAATACGATAACAGTGATACAATTTATATTGAAGGTCGCATGGATACTCCAACTTGTTTGTGTTGAGTAAGGCCGATTTGAATGCAGCGCTGTCCCATTATCCGGAGGCGCAAGATCTTCTCAACAGAAAAGCCAAATCTCTGATGAAGAAAAACGAGGCTAACGAACGGAAGAAACAGGCGCTGATCGTTATAAATAATCCAACACCTCCAGCCCCGCAGGCTAAGCTCATAGATACGGTCTTGCAAGTCCTTCCGAAAGATTCCAACACCAATAAGCTTTTACGTTACGGCTCAAAAATTAATAAAACTCAGAATAAAGAGAACGCGGACGATAGGAATAGAAGAAGTTTGCCTTCGCTGCGTGATATGAGCGATTGGGATTTGGAAGAAGGAAAATTCCAGACCAAGGTTACAGTTCACAGGTCTATGAGTTAAATAATATAGATGTATAAAATTATTTGTATTCATAAATTTATATTTTTCTATAATTTTATAAGTAATATTTAAAGCAGTATTATATGAACGGAGAGTATTATATAAAACAAACGTGTAAAAAGATCAGAATATATGTTAAGTATTAGATTAGTTCACTTTTATTTTTAACTTTATACTATATATATATTTATTAAATTAAATGAATTACATATAGACAATTAAGTAAAAGATATAAATGTTTATAAGGCATATTCTACTGTTGTTCTTCTATAATCTATATAAAAATTATCACTATAATCACAAAATAAAGTGTTAGATGCTTTTCTCTTGTAGATTTAAATAAATTTTCGAAAGCACTTTAGTTACAAACTAGCGACAATGATATCACCACAAATCGGCAATATGACCATCTTATGTAGTGACTAACAAATTATTATTTTAAAAGTATTTAATAAAAATATAATCTCATGTGCGGAAAGACCTATGGTCGGTAGCCCTTTGCAGCAGATCAATTTGTCTTAATTTCTTGTTATGTTTGTTGAGTTTGTAGTATGGTAATTTGTTGCAATAAATGTTATTAATAATAATAATAATAATTTATTGGCCAGATAGCAAACATACAAAACAAAATACATTCTATAAATAAATATAAGTAATGATAATAATAATAACTCTCAAAATAAGTATATAAATTCTTACATAAATTAACAAAAAAAAATTAGTTAACAGGCTGGTCAATGGGCTAACGACCGAGGTCTTTGCGTCCATATTATATTATTATTTCTTTATAAAATTAGATTAACATAATAAAAAGTAGCTAGACTAAAATGTATTTGCCTTACCTTCTTATTCAATATGATATCTACTTAGAAATGACAAAACGCACATTTATTTTATAAATTGTAACAACATGCTTCGTCAAAAACGTTTTCCTTATAAAATTATTATATATATATGAATTGAAATTTGCGTTCAATAAAGTATTGATGGTAAAGCTGCTATACAAAATCAATGGTACTCAAACAGGTCAACTCTAATAATGATTTCGAGTTATATGATAATCCCTTGTACTAAAAAAAATCAGTATTTTAGTGTCACAATTATTAAGCTGTATTAAAAATAAAAAAATAATTAAAGAAAAGGAGACACCTCCAATTTATGCAAATATTGGGAGTAATCAGTTTCGCCATTATCTGTTTGACTGTTTGATACCGAACTAATAGAGGAAGTATGTCGTATCGCATATTAAAAGACTTGATTGCATAAATGAAAAATCTATTTCTTCTAGGTTGCATATTGTAATCCAGGAAGGTTTGTCGCATGTTAAATAATACATAATGAACAAAGTAAGAAATTGCAACTTATAGCAAATAGGCTTAAATATAAACCTATCCATTAATTTATGATAATAGTTCAAACCTCCGACAGAATAAATTCTTAAGATAGTCCAAATTGATAGAAAAAACGTAATATTTGAAAGGAAGTTATTTCTGCAGGGTTGAATCCGAATGAATAAATATGTTAAGTGTTTTTTTTTAACTTTAATTTCCCATATAAATTGTTTTCATAACGGTTGAAAAATCGACGCTATGCGGGTTTATTTTTTACAGGATATACGTTTGTATTTATGTCATGGTTCTTTTAAATCTATAAAATTTAATCAATCAATTCATTTTATTAATACCATAACAAAAGAATGGACAACAAAACTTAAGAATATCAATACATTGGTCTTCCTGTTATTTATATATAGAAATAAGTAAAAAGGCTTCTAAATTAAATCTTTCAAATAGCATGGGTCACGCCAGAAGAGCAGCGATTGTAGAAAGCCTTCACGTCCTTCACTCCAAAATTGTCTCTCTGACAATATTGACATATTTTGGAAGAATTAATTTTGGCCTCCTAGCCGTCCCGACCTAAACCCTTTGTCGAGAGACATACCAACAAGTCTAGGCACTCTAAACGTCAACACCTTCTGGGTCCTTACCGAGGCTGAGTTTACGGCCATGAACCGCGATCATTTGCGTGCTCGCGCTTTAGGGCGAGGATTGAGCAGGTGATAGCAATACAAGGTGGCTATATAGAATAAAAGTTTTCAGCAAGAATCTTTTAAATGAGATATAACAGCATTATTTGATATCTTTGTATATTGACTTAAATAAAAAAAATACCTAAAACGTTTTCTTGTCCGGGTTCTAACGGTGCACCCTGTATATATGTAAAATTCATTAAATTGAAATAAAGATCCGGTGAAACCTCGCTTAAATAGTAAAATAAAATGCTACAATTCGCATAAAGAGTGATGTGGAGGAAAGAAGTTCCGGATTGTACGCCTGCTACATCATTTTCAATACTTTTGTACACATTATATGTATTTTTTAATATATTAACCATCTACGATTGTTTGTTGTCATATTTGTTTATAGCGGAATATACTTTGCAAATATAATTTGTGTTTGCAGTAAAAGCAAAACAAATACATATTACCAAACTTGTGTTTGGACATATTATTTGTAAGTTTTTTTTTTGTGCAACATTTAATAGCATTTGTATGTCTCTGAATAAAAAGCGAGACCAAGTTATACTATTTTTCCGACATGTTACGCATTATCGTAATTTCCACTATATTTGAAATTCAATCAATCAATTATATTGATTATGCTTTTAGAAACTACGATTGGTTTTGAGAATATTAAAAATACACCTACCGACATTTCATGTAGCAATGACACGCATAGTGCGATTATGATAATTAAAATTGAATTGAGCAAAATTAAAATAAATTTTATAAAAATAGTTAATTAAGTCAATTTATTTTCAGACAACTATAAAATAAAAAGTAATTTTGACCTAAATATTAATGCTTTTTATTACCTTTTACTTTATTACTCAGATTAATATACTTATACATTTTATATTACATCAATGTTGTTTGTTTACTCTCTTTTAACTAGATTTTTGTAAGTGCTTCTTATTAATAGCTCAATCAAATATATTACAATGTTTGGGAATGAAATTGTCGGAACTGAAGGTGCGTGACTGATTTTGTATGATTATTAATGCGAGTTATTTGCTGTACCCCGATGTACCCGTCTCATATCTGTGTCACTTTGCATTTGCCTCCACAGGTACATTACCTGCTTACGTATAATATATATATAGTTATGTTGCGAGTGGTTTGTAACTGGGGGATCGGGGTTTTCGAAGGCGGTCGAATGTTGGTTCCAATCCTGTGATCCCCCATCAGTCGCTTCCAATCCACGTTCCATGCCAATATGATGCCAAACATAAATTCAATCAACATCGATTTTGCGTCCCGACACTAGCAAACATTTTTCTTCGGACTTTTCTCATCTCTTAAGAAAATTAAGTAAGTACTAAACTATATTCTGTAGCTTTGCAAATAAAAAAAAAACTTTAGACAAAAATCATTTTTATTGATGCTATTTCTTATTTACTATCATAATTATTTGTTTATATTGTAATAATGATTTTTAGAAAGACATAATATTTATCATACTATTGTTAATAAACCCGAAAATTCACAAAATACACGGACTAAGATAAATTAACAAAAAAAAAACTTCTTAAAAATATAGTTATTCCTAAAAATAATATTAAAAAATAGATGATCTAAAACAAATATAAAACTCCAAATATTCTTATGGAATTAAAAATATATTTACAATAATCAAAATTAATTGTTCATATAATAGTAATGATTATTACGAATTTAAAAAAAAAAAAAAAATTTGAAATAAGCATTTTCATTCACATGATGAAATTAATGATTTAAAGAAAGAGCTACTGTTACTAAAATGCAATAGTAGCTGAATTTCAATAATTCAAAAAAATATATGAAAGTCGAAACATTTTTCCTTGTACATAAGAAAATTAAAATCTACTAATTTTCTTTCTCTTTTCGTAGTTTTTAATTATTTCTTATCATAATTAATTGTTGAAATAATAGTAATAATTGGTATGAATTACAATAAATTAATATTTATTGAATTCATATTTAAAACACGGACATAAAAATGTTTAGAAGAAAACACTTCTTAACAGATCGCACAACCTTTAAGGAAATTAAGTAAGTTTCAAACTTTATTTAATAATAAATTCTTAGTTGATTACATAAATAATTGTTTATTAAGATTCTATAGTAATGTTAATTACGAATTGAACAAAATACATAATCCGAGACAAATAATTACTTTAATTGCTAAGTGTATCAGTATAATCGTTGAAAGATAAACATTTTCTCCTTATTTGCTTGTACATTCAGTATTCAGTGAAATATTAAAAGTTTATTAATTACAAACAACTCAAATGTTTGTTTATATAAAAATAACATTTAGTTCAAAAGAAATCTTCTTTTCATTTCTTCAAATATTTAATATTAATAGACAATCGCACAAAATAAATTAAAACATATTACATAAGGCGTACTTCTGCAAATTTCACCATTAATGAAATGAAATAATAAATTTAGTTAAAGAAGTTTTATATAGAAAATATTAGTTTCATTTTATTTGTTGTTTAATTGTCTAATTCTTTACAGGCTACATTTAACATTAACTTTGAAGTGTGATTAAACCTCCAATCCCTTCACTTAGCTTGTGTCAATCACAATTTCGCCAGCTACCTTTTTTATATTCAAATGAATACATTTACTCCAAAGTTTTATTATTGTCATTGATATAATTGTTGTTCGCATTAAAATAATAATTATTATTATGTGTCAATAATTGGATGTAATTATGGAAAAAAATCTTGTTTATTAATCATAGTTTCGCTGCAAAATCTAATTTCCATAAAATAAAACTATATTATTGATATAAATACCAAAGAGATTTTACAAAATATAATTCAATTTATAAAAATAAGTGAGTTTGTGGTTATATTTTATAGTTTACAGTATTTATTTAATAAAATGACAAATAATAAAGATAAGCTCTTATAAAATGTATAATATTATATATACTTTTAAACTGTTGTAATAACTAGAATAAAATAGAAAGTACTTTTGTTTATCAAAAAATTTCTTATTATTGTGCAAAGCAATACAGTTTTTGTATCACTTGTATGTCACTTCTTTACATATAGGAAATAAATTGGAAATACTAATGAAATTAGATTAAATCGTTTTGCAAATCTTCAATGATGCACTACATGCTAAATATAGTATGGTACATTATTATTATAGTTATAATAAATGAATTGAATTTCTACATTCAGTTCAAGCCGCAGTGGAGAACTAAACGTTTTTTCTAGAATCGATTAATGTTTAGTTACATTATATTTTTATTTTATGGTCTATAAATATATATATACATTATGTACATATTTTTTTCTTGTTGTTTTACGACACGCAGTGACATAAATCATTTGAAACAAACGAATCGATAATTTTCATAATGCGATGTCTAAAAAGCACGGAGTTTATTATGGAAAATATGCATGCCAGGAAATTAATAATCGCGGAAATTTCTTTGACGATGAAAAAATAAAAGGAAATAAAAGAACTTTATATACAAACATAGTGCCGATACAGTATACTATTTATAGAGTAATAATGTAAATGATAAATTCGACGTAAGAGCTTTCGTGATATTGAAACATTTCATATTATGTCCGCAGTAAAGTATCCCTGCTTTAAATTGCATTTAATGACATTAATTGAGAACTATTAATCAGATTCATTATTTAATAAATTCAGCGACGAAACTTCAAATCTTTGTCCCCTTTCAAAATATTCACTCACTCATTAAGTTCTTAGGATGACATTTAGATGGTACCTTTACCGAAAAATCTATATGATATAGGAAGTACCAACCTTCAGAGTATGCCTGTTAAAATTTCATGGCTATCTGACGTTTAGTTCACAATTTTCAGTGGTTTTAGAGACGCTACTTTCGTAATTTTGAAAACAATGCAAAAATCTGAATTTCGCGTGTTGATAAAACATTGCTTTTTCATGAGAAAAAACACCGTTCAAGCAAAACAATGGCTTGATAAGTGTTATGGAGACTCTTTTCCGTCGAGACAAATGGTGGTGAAGCGGTTTGCAGATTTTAAACGCGGTCGTACAGACACAAATGATGCTAAAGACTCTGGTCGCCTAAATTCGGCAATTTTTACAGAAAACATTAAAAAAGTCGACAAAATGGTTTTGCCCGATCGTAAATTGAAGTTTCGTGAGACACTCTGAAGTTATCAGGATATCAGAAGGTAGTGCATTCACCATTTTGCAGGAACATTTGCTCACAGTGGACCAATAACAAAAACGAGTTTGTGAGTCCGTTATATGGAGCTGTTGAAGCGAAATTAAAAGGTTTTTCATGTGGTATGTAACAATGGATGAATCCACCACTATACTCTAGAGTCAAATCGGTCGTTAACTTCATGAACAGCAAAGGGTGAAAGCCGTCCAAACCAGCCAAAGAAGCAAATGTCAGCTGGTAAGGTTTTGGTCTCCGTATTTTGGGATGCGCACTAAATTTTAATCATTTATTACCAAGACAATGCACCGTATGTATCACTCTTAAAGAAGATTATGTTGATTAATAAAGTCGAATATTGCCCAAAAGTTATTGTTTTATTAGTCATTCTACGAACTTATTAAGTGATGTCTTAAGTAGCGAGGTACTCAGATAAATTTGATGGAAATTTTTATTTGCGGCCTCTCTTGATTTCCAATATAAAAAATCATAGAGCCTTAAAAATATTGGCGAATTTTCGCACAGGCACGGCGGGCGCGCGCTTCTTAAATCAAGGCGGCCTCATATTTAAATAGGCCCACTACAACCTTAATGGGGCGATACTTCCGTTATCATTTTTAAACTAAAATTTCAAACACAATTCAATTGCGCTTAGTTAAATCCGCGAAGAACAAAAAGATTTTTTGTTAAATAAATAACTTACATATAAATTGGAATGTTTGTGCTTTTTCTCTTTCGTTTAATATACGTAGTTATTGCATATAATACTCATCACTTAATAATATCACTTCTTCCTAAATCAGAATAATTTTCACTGAGTAAAAATATAATTTAAACACATTTTTAAATCTTTAGTTGTTAACATTTTTTTTTTGGTATGAGCTTCTTTAATTTTATCTTCATTTTTCTTATCTTCATTGCTAATAAGATTATCTAAATCTTCCACTGAAAAATCATCATCTTCTAAATTCAATAAATTTTTAACATCCTCTATTCATCAACCTATTGATTGAGCCATCTGAATATCTCTATTCAAACATTTCTTAGTGTCTTCCAAAAAATATCAATGTTTTCAATTTTGTTTTTAAAACAAAACTATTAAATGTAATACTCTAATTCAATGAATGTACTTAATGTTTCATGCAGATAATAAGCTTTAATGAATTTGCGTTTTCTGGAAAAAGCTTAACTTTAACAGTAATGCATGTGGTCAAAATTGTGCTATTAATAACGTTAACTAATTTCTGTTTATACAATGAATGAATAAATAAAATTTCTTCATTGGTTTCTACAATTGCAATATTATCTCAACTATTATTACATATATTTTCGATTAGAATCGCTGAAGTATTTCAATATTTCCATATGATTCCAAAAAGTAGTTTATTTTCCAAGAATAGTTCACATCTCCAGATATTTTAAGATGATATTAACGCTGTACTTATTTATTAACTAATATAAAACTTTGTACATTCGGTCAATAATCTATGAAACGATTTGCATTTGATTTTCAGAAAAAGGTTTTAATTCTGACATTTTTTGGTTTACCAAAAACTATTTTATTAATTATAACTGGGAATAAATATATAATATGTAGATAATAAATTATAAACATTTTGGAACAAAATTCAAATGTATTCATATTGCTGGTCACAAGTCGATTGGTCGTAAGTGCGATTAGTCTATAAGCAGATAGGTCGTAAAGCAAGAAGTCCCTGTACTAAATTTTATACTTTAAACGTAGGACAAAATAGCTACAAATGAAGAATAAATTATATTTAACAATATTGAAATTATTAAGTATTTCCTTATTCGTTACAATTTTAAATTACCACTAAATTTTAATGGATGAAATAAAAGTAAAAATATTCATGGTACGTTGTATTAAAAACCGTATGATTTTTTTATTATATAAACCTACTAGACTGGATCTGCTCTTTTTGGTTCTTCTCTCTTCTGGTTTATTTCTTGGAACTGTCTTATCATAATCAAGTTTATCTTCTCGACCAAATAATAATAATTGTATTATATATAATTACTTGTGGCTAATTAATTCTGAAAAATAATTACATTACATTTAACTTTCAGTATGTCTGAGAAGAAACGTGGGAGAACTGCATCGGTTTTGCATGTGGTGCATCAAAAGAAGGAATCCAAGTTGCGATACGAAGAGGCCAATTGCCACGCCAAATCGGGAAACCTTCTGAAAGCGGTATTCGCCTACACCAAGGTAACTGCTATTAATAAATTTAATTACAAAACTGCACTTAGCTAGATATCAATCCAAAATGGTACAGAACGTGAGAGATAGCATCGATTCCGTTCACTGGAAATCAATTGAACTGGAAACCGTGCAAACTCGGCCAAACATTCAATTGTCAAAGAAAGAAATACATTTCGATTGTCGAAAGTACTCGTTTATATATGGAACTAAATAATCATAAATACTTATTTATTATTTTATAAATTTGGTTATTTATTAGAATAGTAAAAATGTATTTCGTATTTACTCTAATAACTAAACTTCGACAGGCATCGTCAGCGAAGTTTCGGTTACATTATTTTCTCATAAATAGTCATGTGAAACTTCTTTGCAATTGCCATTTCGAAAACTTTTATACAGTTTCCCTATTTTATAGTCACAGACATGCAAATGCTCTATACTTCCTGTCTGCTTTCAAATCTCGGTTTAAATTTATTAAAATTACTGTTTAAAATCGAATAATAACAAAACTTTTTTAATTTTAAACTAATCAGAGAAGTTTATAAATGATATCTCTGACAACTATATTTTTGTTTAAATAATATTGAATTAATATATACTTTATTATTTTTCAATAAGTATATTTATATATTAAGTACGTTTCTTGTAATAATGATTTTAATGTTAATATTTTGTTAATTATTTTGTTATTATTAATAATGAAAGTAACATTTATAAAATGTATAATATTTAATTCTTGAAATGAGCATTGATTATACCCGAGTTTCTATGGTAACCATGACGAAAGTGCCACTTTTAGCAGCTAGTTCAATAATATGTTCACACTAGAGGTGAATTCGTCGCAATTGTAAGTTAAAAGCAGTTGTTGAAATGAACGGAAACGTCGTCAAGTCGAAAACAACGCACTTGGATACGTCCAGAGATAATGAAATATTACAAAGTTTTGTCAGTACCGGTGTGGTGGATGAAGAGGACGAAATCAAAGAGCAATCCAAGCAGGAGTTTCTTAAAAGTACAGTAGAAAATAAAGATGAGAACAAGAAACATGATGAACAAGGAACACAAGTTAGTAACAAAGTCATAGAGAATGAAGTTAATAAGAAAAAATTGCTGAAGAAGAAACGTCGAAGGTTGAAACCTGAGGAATTATATACGGACAAAGATCGAGCAGCCGCCGTTAATATGGGTACTAAAGATATAAAGCAAAGCTTGAAATTGAAAAGACAGCAGGATAGGTCTAAAAACTTACAGATTCCTGAAGAAGCTGATCCTGCCACCTTTCTGGCACTTGGTAACTATGAAATGGGAAGAAAGGATACTCAAATAGCCTTAAACTTTATAAACAAGGTAGTTTGCACCAATAAAAAAAAACAGTACTGATTGCTCAAATGTAACACATTATATCTCTTTTTTAAATTTCAGGCTTTGGAATTGAATCCTGTGGAGAAAAACGCTTTGGTCGCAAGAAGTAAATGCTACATTATGCTTGGACAGCCCGAGAACGCGTTGAAAGATGCAGAAACGGCATTGGGTATTGACAAGAAATATTTGAAAGCGATCTACCAGAAAGCCGAAGCTTTATATTATATGGGAGATTTTGAGCATAGCCTTATGTACTTCCATCGAGGGCTGCACGTAAGACCAGACCACCAAAATTTTAAATTGGGCGTGGAGAAAGCACAGAAAGCAATAGAAAATGCCCTGGGAATAGGAACTAAGAAACGTTCTTCTCGGAATTCAACGCCAGTCAGCACCAATAGATCTAAATCTTGTAGTAAATTGGTCGAAGAACGGTCTCAAAAATCAGCTTGCTCCAAGAAAATCAAGAAATCTAGCAGACTGCTTAGAGAGTTGGCAGTAGATAAAGATTATTTGGATAATCTATTGATGCATCCAGACATCAGATGTAAGCACAAAGAGGATGTAGAAGATCCTGTTGTTAATCATATTCGTGAAGCAGTTGAATATCTTAACAAACGGCAAGAATTCTGGAGACAACAATTACCTCCAAACTTTACTTAACTATCGCAAATTGATAATTCTAAATAGTTTCGTAGGTGTGTATTCTTTTAGTATTAAAATAATAATAGGAATATAAATATGTACTCAGTGGCTTTGGTCAAGAATAAACAAATACACGAAGATCTTCATATACATATGGTCGAGGATACAATATCAACATTTAGTACTAGATATATAGACTGGATTCACATACTAATGTTCTGGCTGAAGCGTTGCAAACCACTAGATTTAATATATAGATTTAAGTAATTATGATTGTTCAAAATCAACATAATGGTAACTATCCACATAATGATCACATTGATGAATAAATTGTGTATAAAATTATTACGACATAAAAAAAATAGTGGCTGGCGAAATTGTGTAAGATGCGCAAGCTAAGTGAAGCCAGGGGGATAAAAGAGAAGAAGAAATCTATATTTTAATTAAATATACTTAGAAAAATTAGTCTGGTTGTTTCAAAATTCCAGTTGTTTGTTATATTTTTTTTTTCGAATATTTAAATCCATGAATTATTATTTGTTAAATAGAAAAGAGTGTATATGATAAATATATTTAATGATATTTACAGATTATGATATTATTCATACTCCCTTCAAAGTAATAAAGTAATAGTAATATTGATTAAAATTATTTAGAAAACTGCGTTTCAGAGGTATATCGATATATCTTAAGAATAATTGAATACCCGATCATGACAAGCACCATCAGTCAAGATCAGGAAACGATGAATTATCGTTCACAAGTCTTGTAACTTTTGGTTTGACATGATATGATGTTTAAGTTTATTACATAAAAATAAACTTAGATTGTCACGTTCATATTGCTTTATCCTGAAATCATATCAAGCCATTATTAATTCTCCTTGAATCGAACCGTAATCAACAGAGGACCACAGAGGTCCTAGTTGCTAGTTAATTCATTGCTCGATAGGTGCAAGTAGTTGAAGTTGCGTTGAAGTGCTGCCAACGGCGAATCCTTACTTTGCCACGTTAAAAAAAATCTATACAACACACGCACGCGTAGTAAATATATATATATTTAAAAAAATAAAATTAAAAAAAAATAAATAAAAAATATAAATTAAAAATATGTTTTTATTTACGAATATAATAATTAATAACTTCAAAGATTATCCATCTAATCTAAAGCAAAAACATTAATCAATAGTATTTTAACTGTATTGAGTAAATGATTAGTTACCTCTCCAGTGTTGTCCACATGCTTCTTAGAAGGTCATTTGCAAATTAATGTTGTTCACTTGTGCAATTAACTTTGTTGTAACCTATCTTGGTTATCAATAATTTCTGTTTTATGATCTAAAATGCAATTTAAAGTTTGAAAATAAGTTTCATGAACTTTTTTTAGAACACAATCCAGTAAATTATTGATACACTCATTTGTGTGTGCGCATTCATTAAATTTCCAAATAATTTCCTCTCTCAGATATTGTTTCATCAATTTATGGGGATCATTTCTCTCTGGTAGAACGTAAGGCAATATATAATAAGATATATTAAATATATCAGTGTGAGCAAAAGAACCTCTGAACAATATGTTCTAAAATAACTTGTACTGTAATAGTTCCCCTGCTCCATTCCAAGGAAAGATAATCCCACCCTTGCATAGATATTAGAATTGCAAATAACACAAACAATTAACTGTTCAACTGGATCATCATTGATATATCTATTTGGCAATTGTATTGTAATTTTAGAAGGGGTTGGCGAAGGGATTGTACCTCATTTAAAAATAGATTTAAATCTCCAATAATAGAGCCACTGTCTCGCAATTTGTGTTGGAAATTATAACGTTATTCAATACTATATCAATACTACCATAAATATGGTACATGTAGGCCTGGTGTTTGGACCTCGTGTTTGCCTCATTTGGCCAAAGAAATTTTCGTGAGGATCATTCAAAGATTTCGTCGACATATATCTAAAATTCATTTTTTGTAACAACATAAAATGTAGGTTAATTAAACCATTTAATGTTGTTACAAAATATTAAATTATCATTTAAACCAGGATCGATTTAATTTTACTTACCAAATCTGTTGATTTAGATGGTAACTTAAAAATATTGGATATGAATGTATAGCATTTCTTACTTTGCATATACCAAACGCAAATAACTTATCATTGAAAGTATAAGATTCTCTTTTTTTCTTGTCAAAATTGGATATTTGAGATCTGATAAAATTTTGAATATGAATGTCCAATTTTTTAAATTTTTCAAATGCTTTATATTCTCTTTTTAGTTTTTTATTTACATTTCTTAAATAACGAATATTTCTTTGCAATTTTCTTCTTAATTTAGAATCCACTTCTTTATTATTTTTTAAATTACCATTTGATTTATCATCATTTTTCTTTCTATTGTTTCCATGTTAAAGTCATTTGAAGTAATATGACTGATATCAATAGCTCTATCACTGTCGACAGCAATACCCATCTCTTCAGATACAACCTCTACTGGTTCACAATAGGAGTTATCTAAATTAATAAGATTGTTATCAACAACTCTATCAGCAACTCTTATTTCTTCTGGTACAAGTTCATCTGGAGAGATCTACATTTTGTAAATCACCAACAATACCAATTTGTTCAACCTCTACTACTTCTAAAATATTTTCCGTCAACATCGGAAAATCGTACGAATAAAAGCAAGGTTTTCTGTCATCATTTATAATCCAAACTGGTTAATAAATAATGACTTCTATATACACCAATAAAAACATAACGACTGAGCGTATATTAAATTTTAAATCATATAATGAATGTCCAAACAGCTATGTCCAAACAATTTTTCTATGTATATTTGGTTGCATACATCATTATTATTTCGAAAGTATATAATTCCATTATTGAACCAATATCAAAAAGTCCACGTGGGATATAAGAATTAAACTGTTTGAATAAAAATATAAGAATTATAAAAAGCTTTTATTTTAATTGCACATTGGGTGCTAACTCTGAGAATTATCCTTTATCCTGATAAATAAAACCGAATTTAACAAAAGTGATTTTATCTGATACATTCAGATTATCTCTCGCCAGTAATGATTGTAATTGATAATTTTCAATATTCGAATATTATTCATATTCGTCGAAACAAATTGCATACAGATAAACATAAATGTGAATTATATAATAGATACACTCGATTTTTTTGATAGCTGAACGGTTTTTTTGTTTTATCTGTAAGGAAAATTTATAATTCAAAGCGGTGGCCGTGCCGTAAGATTTCATAGAAATCCCGTCCGCACCGGAAACGGGAACTTCCTTGGCACCATTACCAGAAACTGTTACGTAAAGCCGCAGCGGAAGTAAGAACAAAATCAATCAAGTACTTCTAGTAGTATCTAATTTATAAAAATGTTGTATGTTTGCAGAATTTAATAATCCACTCTATAGCAATATAACTTAAATGGTTATCAGAAAATATTATGCTGATTATATTTTTTATTGATTAAAAATGTGGGAATTTTAGAGCAAATGAAATGATAATTGCTCATTGTCTGTGATTACTTAGAATTTGTAATTTTTTTTTTGTAGAAATCAATGTACATTCCAAAATTAGCGACAACTCAATGTAATAACATTAACAGATTAACTAGATACAATTAATTTGAACAAGAACTATTTGCTGACGAAATACCCATTATACGGTGTTAATTAAACTATTAGGATTAGGTGAAAGTAATTGCTGGTGATCTGCTCGAAAAGCCTGCCTTCATTTCTAGACATTTGGAAAGTTTACAAGAAGAAAAGGACTATTAAGCATTTTTTTCGTCTTTGTTCCTTCGACCGTCTTGATTCCGGAAAGAGATAAGATATGAACGAAAATTACAGAATTATGACAATAACTCCGGAATGGGTGAAACAGGTATAAACCGAACCGTACTTGTTTCTTAACGGCATTCAAAAGTCAACGTTTCTTCACGTTCAAACATAAAAGTAAAGATGAATTCCTTTTTATAATATTAATGTATACTTATATCATGTTTACAGAATATCATATATTGGTTTAAAATTTATAAAAATAGTTCACTCTTCAATTGCTTTCTGTTTACATACATCTCCTGAAATCTAATTAAAATTGAACTTTTATCACTAATTTTGAAAATATTCATATTTAAAACATATCTTTATTACTTAACAAAATGCCGCATTAAATTACTGTAATAATATAGTAATAAAATAATATTTATATAATAAAAATGTTTTGTTATCAAATTTCTATAAACAACTCGTATTGCTATGAAAGTTGATGAGTCAACTAATGAGTCCCGAGTAATGTAATGAAATAAAACGAGGCTCCAAACTTTTTTTTTAAATGATAAATCGAATCAAAATAAAATTGATAATAAATTCGATGATTTTTAGAATTAATCAGAAAATAATATTATTAAATTATCGAGAAGCAACATTACTATACATACTATACATACATATACATACTATACATATTAAAAGAAAATTCTATAAAAATAGTAATTTATTTTCAATGTGGTTAATTAAAATCTAGTTTGTTTTGAAATTTTCAAACCGTATTCACTATAAAATCCGGGCTAATCGAAGCTGGATTATGGAAGGAATTGCTCTATTTATATTTAATAGATCTTTCCTAACAACTTGTCATCAACTGAGATGTGCTTCAGCTGTGAATGTGAGTGACGTTAAGACTTGTTTCTCTGAATGTTCTAAGAGAGAGCCATTGTATTTGTTACACATCTGCGACACCCGTTGCTTAACTTTATACAAAATATTTTTTCTCACCAAAAATCAATCTCTATGTGGAATGTCATTGTGAAATAATTACTTTGATTGTTAAAAATATATAAATACTAAAATATAGTTTCATATTTTGTGGAATGACAGAATTTTCATTTATGTGACTTTTTGTAATTCCCAATTAAAATTAGAATACGTTTGTAAAAAATATATACTTAACGATCAAAATAAATAAGAAAAATAACTCGCTTAACGTGCGACGTATCGCATAATGAGTGACGAAGAGAAGATAAATCGCGGATTGTGCGCTTGGTAAATCATTTTCAAAACTCGTGTACACATATGTTGCTTATTTTTGAATATATTAACCATTTTCGAATGTGTTTGTCACTTTTGTTTGTAACGGACTATACTTTGCAAATATAATTTGTATTTCCTGGTAAAGTACAACAAAAATGTATTGTGTCCAAGCATTATTATAATATATAAACAAACTATGTACGTTTTTATATTAACAAATATTAACTTTAACCAGGATCGTTACAAGTAATAACAGTCCCTGTTGTTAATAGTCATGATAATTGCATCTTAGTGTTGTTTGTGATCATACATACTTCCAAACTTGTGCTCAGACAAGTTATTTGTGATTTTTTTGTGCAAAATTTAATAACACTTGAATGTCAAGGAATAAAAAGCCACAGAATAAAAAAAATAGTCATAGATATAAAAAGTAAAAACATTACAAATCCATACGAAGTTATACTTTTTTCCGGTATGGAACGCATTATCGTATTTTACATTAGTTTATATGGGGAAAATTGTTTCACTATACGAGTATTTAATTATTAATAAATAATTGAACATTGTTAAAACTGTTAACTATTTTCGAAATATTTTTATAAAATTCAACACAATACATACACTTTGTTTTAAAATATAATATAGGTTGGAAATGCGAACAAGAATTTTAATCTATATATTATTAAATTCCAACAAACGCATGTTTGATTCATCGGGAATTTTGATAATTTCCGTCGGAAATTCTATTAAAAATATATTTATATGTGCATATATCAAAAATAATGTAAGTAAAATTTTGATTTATGAAGTTATGTTACTTTATCAATGTAGTGGAAATGTTGATATGTTTCATTAAAATCATATATTTATAAATGATATATGAAATCTGAAGATCTTGAAATACAAATATTTTAAATGCAAACAATGAGTCATATTGGAACAGTGGCAAAACTACAATGGCGCCGGATCCCGCAATGCGGTGGGGTCCACAGCTAAAGGGGACACAAGGCTCTTAAATCTTTAAATTATATATACTATACATCTCCTCGTCATCATCTACTTAACTCTGGTGTCTAGGGTCCACGTTTTAACTGGTATTCAGAATTTTATTATGAACAATTGCAATTAAATATATGTTTTTTTTACCAAAGGGATATCGACTGAATTGTTTAAAAGATCTAAAAATAAGGAGAGAAAGATGCTATTAGAGATTTTAGGAATTTAAAATGCAAAAGAAAGAATTTTAAATATATTTTATGTTTATAATTTTCATAAAAAATATTATTTTTTTTCCGAGGTCAAAATTTATTAAATTTTGCCACTGTATTGGAAATATATGTTATTGATAAGCGATAAAAAGAGTTTGATAGAAGAATAGTAAACATCATGAATATCAAATATACAAAAGATTTGATTTTATTTAGTTTTAAAATGGATATTTTATTTGATACTTTTTATTTTATTTGTTATTTATTTATTTGAAAACGTTGCTTAAATGTTAAAATGTATCAATTAATTTCATAAAGAAATTGAGGTATAACCAAAAAGTAAAACGGATTTTATATCATCTTTACGGCAATCTATAACATTCATGACCAAACAGATAATATACCGATGTTAATGATGTTTGTCCCTAATTTAACAAAGGTATTTACATTGTCGTACATCCAAGACGATGCCAATCGATTGTTGTAAAATAGATAAGGTTGTGCTTTATTGTATGACGATTTTCGAACTCGCATATGTTTCAATTTCATTCACGTACATTGCGTATTGATTAATGTAAAAATAAAATGAAGCGAATAGTTCCAAAATGAGTCCGATTTATTAAGATTTATTATTATAGTAGTATTTCTCTAAATTAATTTGTAACTATTCTCTAGAGTCTAGACCAGTGTTTCTGAATTGTAAAGTATACAAGAATGAACCGATTGTTTTAACGACACTTGACAAATTTAACAACCATTATAATGCAATTATATTTATATATAAACTTTAATAATATTATAAAATTGTATACTTCTATTTAGAGTATTTACTCTAAATTTGAAACATATTATTTTATTAACATTTTGTTATTAATTTATGGTAAAACTACAATTATTATATAAAATTTTGATTTTCGTTGAAGACACGATGTTTGAAAAAGAAGTTAGTTTTACTTTCACCCAAAATAATTGTCAGTCATTCGAGATCGAAAGTATTGAAAATGCTAATTAGTTACACCAAAATATTTCAACACAAGATGCATATGCTTATTCTTCAAGTGTGAAATGGCGTAAATTTGTTTGAGACTGTTTTTATTGAAAGTCAGTACTTTTCCATAATCACAATTTTATGCTGTGAATATGCATATCTGCATACAAAAATACATATTTCTAATATTCAAATTATGTTTAACAAAATAACATAATTGAATTTCTAATTTTATTATAATTAATATTTGTCTGAAAATTAGTTACTTCTAATTATCTATGATGTTATTAGTTGTGGAATTAGGAAGACTACATCTTTTATATTGCTTAATATGACTATTTTTCGTAATATGTTTTACTGTTGTATATTCAATAAAATAAAGTATCTATACTTTCTACCTGAAGGGTCTGGACTTACCACATTATACTTTATTACAGCAATTGTAAAAGGGATGAGAAAGGACGAATCTCGACGTGCAAAAACATAGGTCCGTTGTGTCAACTCGATATTTGTAATATACAACACTCACCAAAAAGCATAACAACTTTCTATGTATTTCATAATTTCACAATATTATCTGTTGGTTTAAAATATGTGAATGAACACAAACATAAAATATAATATTTTTTTACATATTTCCCAAACATAATAATACTGACTTAATAAAACATTACAATTGAAAGCAGTAGTTACTCCAAATTATGCTATAGTATTAAAAGTTGCAAATAGGGTTGTTTTAACTATCCAATCAACTAGAATAATAAAAATGTAATTAATGTTTTTAATTAATATATTAACTAGCAGTCTAAAATGCATTCTATTGTAGTATAATAAAAGTTAGGTTAAACTGATATTTTAGAAGTTATATTTATAAATACATAAAATGTATTTCTAGCATACAATAATAGATATATTAACTACATTTTTTTAATATTTGCATATTTCTCAGAACTACCATATTTGTAAAAGTCTTCTTCAAGCTTTCTAGCTTTAAAAATTAAATCAGATTGTTGATTTCTTTTTCTAATTTAGTTTACAATGTCTACAATAATATATTTCAAATATAAATATTATTATTAATAAAGGAAATAAATATATTAAATAATTTTCTCAAATTCTTTTAAAGTATTAAATCTTGAATTAAAACCCTTCATAACATTTTCAATAATTTGCAGATTATTTCAAAGTTGTAATTAAAAAAAACACAATTTTCTAGTAGTAGTCTCATAACGAACTGATTTTTATAAGAATTAATGCAACTAATTGTTTGCTTATTACCATCTTTTTTCCATCAAATTAAAAACGCTTAAGTTGGATAAAACATCTGTATGCAATATTTCACATTTGTCAACTAGCTCTTCAAGAATATTAATAATTGCATTAAAAAAATCACGCAATTGTTGTAGGTAATACGTCTACTTAGAGTAGACACCTTACATTTTTTATTAAAAAAAGATGGATTTGAAGAGCATTTAATGGATTTTTAAGCATTTAATTCACTGAATATATAAATGCATAATTTACACTTGAATGGACAATCCATTGATATTTCTAAAAAGTGTCTTACAAAATTATCTTTTTTAGTTATTGTTTAGTTATAATCTTATCCAAACCATAACTTTCTTTCACTTAATATAATTTTTTAAGGAACTTGATTGTGTCATCGTTTTAAATAATAATCATTTTACAATTGCGATCAATTGTTAAGTAGAAAAGTTGATCTTAAGAACAAACAAGTTGTTTATATGTTCTAACTAAAAGCAGTGACTAATTTAGTCATTTTGAAAAATAAACTTTTGAAATATTATTGCAAAAATAAAACAATTTAATTCTTTTTCTGTATACATAGATTAAATATTGTGAAACATGCAGTCATATGATGATATGACAAAAATTATGATGTCTGTTAAACCCGAAAAGGTTAGAAATAGGGCCGAAAGAGATTTATATTAATAAATAAATTGATATAAATCTCTTTAAATAAAAAATAAAGTCGAATTTGTTCGTAAGTCTGGTGAATTTTAAAAATTCCATAATATCTTACCACACTTTATCATGGTTTTTATTTTATATATGTTAAATTCCGTATTACTGACTGCATAAATTTGAAAAAAATATATTAAAATAAACAAAACACTTACTTGCAAATACTTTTCAATGTAGACATCACAATTATTTAATAAAAAACGACAAATGCGACAATCGGGGATACCTGTACTTATAATAAAAATAATAATTATTAAAGTATAAACTATAAGAGCACTAGCTTCTTTACTGAATAAAATATCTTTTTTATGTCATCAATCATTATTATTACTATCAATTCATCATAAAAATATAATTTTAAGAAAAATAAATTTTAGAGATTGGAAACTTCCCATCTACCAGACAATTATATCACAACAAACATGATTATTGTCCTTTTAGTGATAAATTGTAAATAAAAATAGAAGATCTTAAATTATAAGTATGTTTAAAATTTCGAATGTTTCTCGTACTATTTGCTGATAGAGATATATACATTTAATAATTGTATGTTTGACGAAACACGTTATTTTATTCTGCTTATCTATAATGAGCAGAATTGTATTTTTATAGATATTAGCTATATAGAAAACCTAATATTATGATGCACAGTGTATAATCCAAAAAAAATATGTAGAAATTCCTGTAGAAATGATGATGAATAATAAATATATATATATAAATTGGTTGGAGAGGAAGAGTGGGGGTTCTGGGAGGTCCCCTCTACGAAATTTCTGGCTAGATAGCAAAATTGTGAGCGCTCAACGCTCAGTTTCTTGCGGTCCGCAGCGCAGATAGGGCACGGATTTGGATAGCTGTTTGTGCGCGAAAAGAGTATTGCCTACAAAAAAAATATAATACAGACTTCTTAGTCGGTTTAGCTGCGTACTCCCGTAAGCAAAAGGAGTCACGTTTAAATTTTAATTTAGAATTTGATTTGTGCAAAGACAGAATCGAAGTAATGTTGGTGCTCGAGGGTGGCGGAAGTGCGGGGAGCTGCACGGCATCGGGGCGCTCCTCGGTCAACCCCAGCATCCTAGACTCACCCACGCTCGCAAGAGTCGAACGTGCGATGTTGAGGCACGACGAAGGAGTACGCAGGGACGGGGCTGCACTCCAAAGAGCAGCCTTCACACAGGTAAATATTCAGTCGGACCAACTATTTCAATAACCTCGCCCAACCGAAGCAAGTTCACAGCACACTAACCCTTCTGGGATTTTGTCACGAACATGTGTTTCCGGATCGTGGGAAATTTATCTTCATATTCAAAGAATTAATTCATTTCCTCTACTTTTTCTATGATTAATCCATCATTTGTCTAAACCCGCTTCAATAGTATTTCTGCAAAAGAATAGAATACTTTTTAATCGTCTTTTCGAGAATGTGTATATAGAATATTGAGCATGAAATATTTTTACAATTGGATATTTTTTTAATATTCACTAGATTGAAAATTGTATCAAGAATACATTTAAATATTTTAAAAACCAAATCATAAGGCAAATATGATGTTGAATCATCAAGCTGTGCTTGAAAAAAAATATTAATGGTTGTATCTATATAAAACGTAATTTGCTATTAAAATCCTTAGAATAAAATAACTATATGGTCGATAGACATATAAAACAGGTTTATTTGAAATATTGTTGCTTGTAGAATTTTTATAAACAAAGAGAAATTTTATTTTTTAAGAAGTTACATTCCCAACTTCCCATTGAATCGCCTATTCAGCCGTATTTATTGTATACATTTGTGTAATATATCAAATCACCTTTGATGTACTTGAATTGATCCATTTAATTAGGTGAATACTTTGCAGTCTACTATATTTCTATATATTGACGTGGAATGAAGAATTCTCATTCAAACGGAAAATTCAAGTCATTATTATAATTAATCATTGCGTGCATTGATTACTTCAGTAAATTTCATTCAAGTTAATCAATTTAGCGTACTTGGACCGATGCCCTTTCTTAACTCGAGGCTAATAAAATGATAAGAATAATGGAGCTGTGACGTTTTGCAAAAATAATTAATAGAAACATTTATATGGGTTTTCTTTTGAATTTACTATCGGCCGTAATTGACCATATTTGAGAGTTGTATTGTACTATTATAACAAAATATTAATATTCAAACGTAGTACGTATTTCATAAATAATTTGATTTTATAAAGAGAGCTGTTTTGTGTGGTTCCTAAAGACCTTGCATTGTATCCTGAAATTAGAAGTAGTAAGGCTGACTAAATGTTGCAACTGCAGCATACATACGAATATATTCAATAAATACGTTGTGTTTCGTGCAAACTTAAATATATTTTATAATAATTTTAAAATTATATATAAGGAAATACATTTTGAATATCGTGCAGTAAATTATTTTCTTATTTCTATTATTCAAATCTACTAATTCACACGTTTCTATTTTAAACCGAATTTCTGTAATGAAATCGTAAATACACTATTTAACACACATATGTAAAAAATGAAGAGTTATGATTTTTCGATTTAGTTTATTTTCATTTACGTGAAACACGTTACTCATTAAAACATTCCTTTAAAGCAAACATACATTAGTTTGGCAATGTATAAATTTAATATTATTTAGATCCATTATTATCATACAAATTTGTTTGTCACACATCAATATTGGAAAATAGCATATCTAGTTTCAAAAGATATTGAATCTTCATCCATTACATGCGTTGCTTAACTTAACTCTAATGATTTTCAGTCAAATATAGCGCAAGTTTAGTATTTTACAGTTTTTCAAAATTCCTATTTTATAACGAGTACTCTTATTTAAAGATGACGTAATTTAATATTATAACTGAATATAGGTTCTTGTACATTGCATCTATTTAAATATACAGTGTATCTCAAAGCTACATAATTTGTTTGTTAAAGATGTATGCTAGGTGGAAAGTAAATATTTGCATTTCTCGAGTAGTGTTTTAGTATAAAGATTACAAATAACCACTCATTTGAAAATAATGCTTCCATGAAAGAGTAGTTGTGTTCAATAATTATCGTAGTTAATAATCATAAGGTTGAATGGAAGTGCTTCATATTGACGATGAGCCGTTAGAACTGTTCTTTGGAGAACTGTATTTTATATATTTACTTTATTTTCGCAGAAAACCCGGCCTTTCATTCGGTTGAAATAAACAAAAAGTAACAGCGATATACATGATAGCAGTAATTAAATAATTTGAAACTTTACACCTTCAATCACGTTTGTTTCTCTTTTACATAGTTCTCTATTGTTGAGACTGGGAAGAGGGACCGAACCGAAAGAGAAACAAAGGCGTAACAGTGGAAGAGAAAAGTTTGTGTTAAATGGTTTGTAATATGTATGCAGGAACGGGAGTTATAACGGATATAAAAGCGAGTTTGTGGTGTAAATAGATAAAAGTGTTTTCTCCGCGTCCCAGAAAATAAATAAAACGCAAAGTTTTATCATTATTATTTTACTTCGTGAACGGGCGGACGTTGTTTATTTTTTCGAACCCACTTCCCTTGTCTCTTCTATCCAAATTCAATACAAAATAACTAAACGCAAAACAACAGGAACAGAAAAAAAAGTTTTGTAAAAACAAACCACGCACAGCTTTTGCACCGAGGAACGAGATAAAAGCGACTCATTTAAACAAAGACAAAGTAAACCCGATTAATAATATAGATTCGATCCGTCGTGTTTGTTCAATGGCTTCGAGATTGAAATGATACTGGGACTGTGCTTGCTGCTGCAGGACATTCTGTCTTTCGCTTAATAACAATTATTACTGGTAATAATTATGTGCGTTCTGTGCCGATTAATAGATGGCCTTCGGATACCAGTCGCATTAACCCTGAGGATTTGTACCTCTCTTTGCGTCCCATAAATTTTATTAAACATTTAATTAAATTATTAGTATGCGCGCCTCTCGCGTTGTTAATTGCTGCATATTCTAACTTAAAACATAACCTCCAGCTTGCAAATAACCTTCGGAATACTCAACAGTTTATTAAAATGTTAATTTATTAACGTTAAAAACATTATTTTTTAAACTTTTGTCCAACATCTATTTATCTATTATTTAAAAAAAACGCATTATTTACATTCATTGAAAGGAACCTTGACTTCGATCTACTTTTTTTTACAAATTAGTTGAACGTATTTAAATTGTACATTCTTATCGATATTATTATTTTAAAAACTTTAGTTTTTACATACACATCAATTACTGCAATTAACATAGGTTTTTCTGCACTTGCTAGATATTTTCTGCAATTATATTGTCATAACTGGAATATAATTAATTAGATAACTATTTGAGATATAAACTTTAACAGTTATTTTATTTCTTTTATAAATGGAACAAAAAAGTTTAGTGAAAATATTAAAATTCACTACAAACGTTTTATACTTATATGCAATAATAGTATATAATATATTAAAATGAGAATTTTTATTTCCCAACAAACTCATTTTTTAGTGAAACGCAACATTATCTATGCCGGTCTAATTAACTTTATTCTGTAGACTCCTCTCTATTAATTAATTTCTGTTTGTTAGGCGATAAGATATGTAAATGGGACCTGCTTAAACACACATTTATTATATTCACCTCAGCTGGATGTAATTTAAATTATCATTTTTTAATTTTGAAATCTGTATCAAAATTGCTTAATTTTATCTAAAATTGGTATTATACCTAAAGAATTTCATTACATGTTATATGAATAATCTAGCTATTACTATTATATTAGATTTTTTGAAATTAGAGTAGATCCCCGTTAATTCGAGTACAACGGGACTAAGAGTAGATCAATTATGTGAAGATTCTGCTGAAGAGTAAAAACAGTGTTTTGCCGCAACAGTAATTACAAAAACGCTAGCAATTCAAAATATTTAAAAAAAATTTAAAGTTGAACACCGTTATAGAATGTTCATTGATTTTTTTTGTTTAAGGAGCTATTTAATAAGAACAATATTTTATAAATATTAAACAAAGTATATATTAATATTAAACAATAAAAATATTTATTATGTATTGCTTTAAGAATTTATTTAACGAATGGTAAAATAATATACACCTTACTTTTTTTAACTTTCAATTTACAGATTTGTAAAAAATATACACGATTTGATACATTACAAACGCTTGAGAGACTACGAGGTCGATGGCTAATTAAAAGTGAAACCTTCTAAGAAATGCAAATACAAGTTTAAAATCTTGATTTGCGTATCTGATTCAAGTACAATGTTTGAGAATGTAATTACATCTATGTAAAATATGCTAGACATAAAGTAGACCAATCTCATGAACTTTTTTTATGTTATTAGTCACGTTATTCCTCCTCCCACTGTAATGTGGAGACTTGAAAAAATGAAACTTATTTAAATATTTACCCAATGGCTTGTACATGAATCATTCGTATATATTTCGTAACTTATATTTTACGTAGAAATTTGCCAGATATACTACGAAATGGAATATATTTGCAGAAAAATGTTTCTCATTTGTGTAATACATATTTTTTAGAGTTATTTAAACTGTATTGAAGGAGACTGTACATGGATGGAGTAATTTTTATTTCGCAACAGCGAAAACATTTTAAAAAGCCAAGCGCTTATTGCCTACAAATTAATGAAACGATTTCCATATTTCAACGTTAGTGGATAAATGAACGAGAGACGTCGGCAATGCAGTTACGGCAAATAATGCTATGCCAAAGAGGGAAAATGGGGAACGTAGGAAAACATAGTCAATTGTAGTATTTTATTCCGCGTAATGGGCTGCGCAAGGAGCTGTTACGTAAGCCCCAGATTTCCAATTCCTCCTTTTCCACGAATGGTATTTTTCTACTATATTTAAGAAAACGTTATTTTATTTTATTTTTTCTTCCTCTTCTATCGCCGAGGAATATTGCACGAAATGCGGTCGTGTTGACGTAATGAAGTGTAACGATGTCAATTCTATGTGAGTCGCAGCACAGAAAACTGACCTCCTCGTTACCAGCAAAATAATGACAATGACTAAATCTGTCACGTTTATTTTCTTCTTAAAAAGAGCATAATCATTTGTCACAGTCCCAAATTTAGTATTGACTACATTACGTGTGCAGAATTACTTACATTAATAGAAACTTGCA